TGCTGAAATGTGCCAAACAAATGTGTGGCATAGCCGTAATTTAAAAGGTTATTCATAGGAATATTAATACATTTTTCCTCAGCGATTTCTTTCGTGCATCCAAGCCATTATCTTCACTCACTTTCGGCTGGTTTTGGTTTCGTGCGGGGCTAGACAGCGCATTTAATAGGTAAATTAAACGAAATTCATTGGCCTGCCATAAGGCCATCAACATGCATGGCTATCAACCGAAATGCGAGCACTAAAAAGTATAATAACAGATGTAAAGATCGAGCACTGTAAAGTGCGGAGATTTGTAAACGGTTTGTTCCGCTTGCGACTGTGTCATTGTCAGGCCCAATACTATGTCAAAAGTGATTTCCCGAGCCGAGCAGTGCGAAGTTTTCATCATTTAGTCGAGATTTGGGAAATTGTCCCGGTTTCCGCTTGGCGTTGCACAATTGTTGCGTAAGGTGCCTGACGCACTCGTAGAAATAAATCTCTTTCATGCGTGTGGTGGCGCCGGCTTCAGCCTTGACTTTTCACTCGCTTTTTATATAACTCATCAACTACGAAAATTCAATTATCTTTAACTGCTTGTCGGGGCTCAATCGGTACAACTCGCGGCACGAGCCGAAGAAAGTTTCAGGCCACTTTCTGCGGCGGCACGAAACGAGTCTGGGAGTTGGTCGCGGACACTAAATCATGTGTAAGCCTGTCACTGACAAATTGAACAAAAATATTCAAATGCCCAGCCTCCGCGTGGCCATCATTCCCGCTGTCCCACTGCACTCCACTCCTCGCCGTTCGTCGCTCGCCAATTGCCCGGCTTGCGCAGCAATTAAAAACGCATGGGAATCGACTCTCGCAATGGGCATGGCATGGAGAGCGTGACTGCCGTGTGAAATCGAAACACACACACACGCAAACGTCAGTTGCAGATGCAGACAACAACAACATAGTATCTGGCGCATACGTCTATTGCTGCTCACTGAGATCGAGCAGCCACAGCCACGGATTCATTTGAATACAATAACCGGGGCCAATCTGCAGTCTGCACACCGGAATTGCAATCTGTATCGGTCTCAGCAACTCCATACCCCCCCACTCGTACTCGTACTCGTAGCCGTGCCGGGTATCTATAGGATATAGATACGTTTAGAAAGGGCAGCGCCAGTTGCCCGATGCCAGATGCCAGTTACCGGTTTCGCTTTAGTTTATGGAATTGTCTGGGAATCCTATGAAATGGCTCGAGGCATTGTATGCAGATTGTCAATTACAAATATTCTAAAATACTTATAGTACTTCATCTGCAAACAGCTTGTTAATCGATGCAAGTTAATGCATTCAACATCACGATCCAGGGCCAAGCTATTGATGCAGCTGATTGATTATTTGCCACTCTCAATGAACACATTCTGGGAATATTCTCAATTCCGTTCAATTCCGTTTTCCTTCAACGATTGCCGGAAATGGAAATGCCGCTGGTAGATAAGCTCGAACAAGTGCAAAGCAGCAGCAGAAAGTGTTTTTGCCTGGTACTGACAGGTTCATTCAACAACTAATCTCCGATTCGATTTCGATATTTGCAGACCCAACTTGCCATGCTCCGCATCCTTGCCGCAGTACTTTGTGCGCTCCTCTGGCTGCCCGGCCAGGCCCAGGCGCTTACTCCTGGCCTGCAGGTGGCCAAGCAGTGGAAACTGCTGCGCTACAACTTTCAGCCTCAGGCGCCTATCAACGATGCCAACTTCTACAGTCCCCAGAATGTGCTCATCACGGGACTGGCCGTCACGGATACACGCATCTTCGTGGCCACTCCCAAGCTGTTTACGGGCGTGCCCTCTACGGTCAGCTGGGTGTCCAAGGCGGAGTTTCGGTGACTCACCCACCCTGCAGGCCTTCCCCGACTGGTCCTTCTCCAACACAGGCCGCAGCGACTTCAACTGCAGCGACCTCATCCTCACCTCGGTGTACCGCCTGCGCATTGATTCCTGCAACCGGCTGTGGCTGCTGGATGCGGGCATCTCGCGCTCGCTGGAGGACTACGAGATCACGTGTCCACCCAAGATACTGGTGGTGGATCTGGCAACGGACCGCGTGGTGCGTCGCATCGACTTTCCTCCCGAGGTGCTGCGCGGCGAATCGCTCTTCACCAACATGGTGATCGACGAGACGACAGCGAAGACCTGCGACGATGTGTTTGTGTACATCACCGACACAGTGGAGCCCGGCATTGTGGTGTACGACAGCGGCAAGGATGTCACCTGGCGCGTCTCCCATCCGGCCATGTATCCCGATCCCGACTTTGCCCAGTCCGAGATCCTCAACGATCGATTCGTCCTGATGGATGGCGTGGTGGGCTTGACCTTTGACGAGCGCAAGGGAGTGGTCTACTTCCAGCCTCTGGCCACCGATCGGTGAGTGAATCCTCGTCGCAGCCAGATCTCAATCTTTGCTCTAAGCCCAGGGCTATCCCTTCCCTTTCAGGGTGTTTTCGGTGCACAAGAATGTGCTGCGCGCCGGACCACTGCCCGATGGTAAAGATGCTGGACGTGAAGCTGGTGGGAAAGAAGTCCTCCCAGGGCATCGGGCTGTCCATCTCGCCCTTCGACAGCAGCCTGATCTTCAGCCCGCTCAGTGAGACGGCCATCGCCTCGTGGAACCCCGCGACCAACCAGCAGTCGGTTCTCGCCTACGACCGCGACCAGCTGCAGTTCGTGGCGGACATAACCACCACCCGCTCGGAGCCGGGCGTCATATACGCCATCTCCTCGAAGTTCCATCGCTTTTTCCTCAAGAACCTCGAGCCCCAACGAGTTCAACAATCGCATTGTGCGCCTAGAGCTGCCCTCCGGCTCCCTGTTGGGTCACCACATAGCCCTGCCCCCGGCCCCCGCGCACAACAGCTTGCTGAACTACGGCCTCTACAACACCCACTCGCAAGCCTCCACAAACGCCCTGCAGACCTACTTCAGGAGCCCAGCGCTGACAACGCCCTTCACCACCAAGTCGCCCTTCAGGTTCGAGAGTGCCGGCGTCGTCCAATACGGCGTCCGGAATCCCTTCACAGCGCTCAACCAAGGCGAAGCCTTTCCGCCCAGCAAGGCCACCAGGGACAACTACCAGCGCTCCTACCTGGACACCCTGGTGGGCACCACTGCGCCGGCGGCCCCCGCGCGATTAGTCTCGCCCGCCACGCCCTACACGACCCGCCACAGCGGATATTACTACCAGCGTGGGAAGCGGGAGCTGCAGGCAGAAGCGGAGAAGGAGGAGCACTAAAGGGAGTCTACGATGCGTATGCGCAATGCCGCGCGCTGCTGATGTAAATAAAACTTTTTTAAATGTATGGATTAAATTAATTTAATGAAAATTTTCTGAAAAACATTATTTTAAAAGAGAGGAGGGAAAAGGTAAAATTTATTTCTCAAAATTTTCCACCGTTCCACCAATTGAATATTCACCTTCAAATTGAACGTTTTCCTGGCCACTTTTTGTCTTGCTATAACCTGTAGCCACACGACTCATAGTTTCTTTTTTGCTCGCTTTTGGTATGACAAATGGGGCTCATAACGCCAACTAACATTTATTACTTAAAAATCAATTAATTAAACGTTAGTTTCAGCGGCGACACTTAAATGCGGATTATTTTTGCATTTACATACGTGGAAGGGGATCGGCAGAGCCAGAGCTGCACACATTGCTCATTGAATGAGATAGCCATCTGTGTTGTTGAACCAGTCTACTTGTCTACAGATGCAGATGACTATGCGTAGGAGCATATTAGCAGATCTGATCAGTATCAGGGTATTAGTGGCTGATACTCTGGTTTCCGTCATTTGGAGTGGATTATATATATAAATCTTGAATGGATTTTGTATTTGGAAGATTTTAATTCAATTAACAGTTTTGAAAAATGGTTCTGGCAATGAAAACTTCTTTTGGAGATTCCAGATACCTTTAAAAGAGAAGGACTAGATTTTTTAAAAACAGACAGACAGATGGGGAGACGGACATGCAAAATTAAAAATCAAATTTCTTCTTTTAATAGCTAATAAAAAAGAAATAAACATCAAAGTCGAACAGAAAATGTGCTATGTGAAATTAAATTAATTGCCCAGTCTCTGCCGTTCAATGTTTTTTGATAACAATCGTTTTGTGATTACTATTATTAATTTGCAATTGAAACCGGTTGATGCCAGGCGTTGGTGCAATTAAATTCATTATCTGGCGCCGGACACTGATTGTAATTAATATTTGGGGGCTCTTACAATGCTGTACAAGTGTAAGCCATTATTATCCAGTCAAGTAGCTGGATTTGGTAAAGAGATTTGGAATTTCGTTTAGAATTTCGGACATTTCGACAAAATGTGTACTGACTATCCACCTTGCGCTATCCTTGGATAACGCGGGAAACATTAAATGCTTTATTTAACTATTGAACACTTGGTATTTTATCTGCACGTGGGGACGCTACTGGAGAACATGGTCGCTATAATACATCAAGGATAATGAAGCTAGCTGAGTGCCAGCACCTTCAAACGAGGCATTGCCAATTCATTGGCAGGAGAATGGATGCCCCTAGCATTAATAATATGTACATTACTTGTCTGAGAACTGCGCTTAAACGAGAGTTGCTACAATGTTTATAATTTCCAATTAAAAGAAGAAGCACATTCTGTCAATTATTCGGCAAGCTGCAGAGTGTGACCGAACAGCAGAAAGTTTAGCCACAGTTCTTCCAACATTGAGCGGCTAGTTACACTGCGCAGTCAGCTGTATCTTGTTTGCATATTAATTAAGCTCAAAGTGTTAGTGAAAGCGATTATTAACTCAGATTCTTCATTGATTTCCATTTTTAATAATTACCCTCGGAAGGGCACACAATGCTTTCTGGTGTCGCCTATCGAGATTAAAGTATCGAGTATCGATATTGCCTTCGACTCGCAAAACTCTCATCACCTTGTTTACGTGGCAGGCTGCACTAAAGCCGTAATTACTTCTTATTGTTTGGCAGCATGAGCTTTGAACGCCTGCAATCCGAAACTGGGCCGGCAGCGCAGAAAAGAGGAGCGGATATTGTGTCTGAGCCCATGCCATCGGAACAGCAGGAAGAGGCTGCGGAGAACCAACCAAACAGCGAAGCGGATGATCTTCTATGGCAAGAAATACTGCGAGAATCACCAGTAGAGTGGTCCGAGAGTCTTCCAGGCATGGAGGAAATGCTCATGACGATCGATCCACCTATGGAACTCTCAGGCAACGAATACTCTAACAAATTGACCAGAAAAGACATCACAAGGATAAACCAACTGGCACAGATGTCGCCCGAGGAATTGATCGAGAAGATTAAAACGATGGAGAGGGAAATCTACCAGCTGAGCAAGTCCGAGGCCAGCGAGATGACTAGGGCGAGGCTGTTGGGAATCTTCGATCGACATTCCATGCCATAGCGGCCGTGCATCAGTGTAGTTGCACCACCTCAAGATCTCTCTCAGCAGCACGTCAAAAAAGTCTCTCAAGTTAATAAAACATTTGTAAAATGTAGTCCAAAATTAAAATGTAATAGATTGTTGCAAAATAGTCACATTTCTCTTCATCGAACATGCCGATCATAACTTTGAATGATTTCAAATCAGTTTATTTTTATATTGTTGCACATGCGAGTATGCAAATTTGCTCAACAAATTGTGAACATCACATAACCAAATAAAAATATATATCTTTGGTCTGCTCGGCAGACGGATAAATTGATTTTTTTTTTTGTCTAGTTTTATTAAACAAATTACGATTTAATTGAGACCATTTCATGTCTGCTGCACTCGACTACGACATTAATGGGGCGTGAAACTACAGCAGAACAAGTTTTTGTTACTTTTTACGATTAATTCGCTACACATTTCTTGTGTTGCGGTTATTTCTGAGTGGCGTGCGCCTCCGCCAAAGTATTTTGCATGCAAGAAACTCCGGCACCGGTAGACAAAATCTTCACAGCCCCATGAACCATAAACACTCAATGGTTTATTCATGATCGATTGGATATTTATGGGTTTGGTTGCCTAATAAGCTGATAACAGCTTATGACATAAATCAGTGGATGGCCTGTCCATGGCATTATGTCAAGACTTTTCTATCGGAAATACTCCAGTTTCGTAGGTAGTTTCAACTTTAAACTAGATTTTTAAGCGGCATGGGGTGGGGCTTTCAATACTCTTGCAAAAAAAATTGTGCAAAAATTCAGATGTCCATCATCCAGGAAGGTAGTAAATATTATTTGGAATTTTTACTTTTTATATTTAGCCAAAGTAAAAATGAGTGAATCAAATATTACCTGTAGATCGCAGTCCAAAGTGTTCACATGCCTCGGAAATGCTTTGCTTTATGTGTGACAAACGTCTGGCCATAGTTTAAGTAGCCTCCGACAAGAGTATAATAAAGATGAGACTCTAGAAAGAAGAGCAAAAAAAAAAACAAAGAGCTAAAATATAAAATTAAAAAACAGGTTGGAAACGAGTATATTATCCACACAGTCTTTTGTTTTTGCTATGTAGCAATTTCACGGCTCTTTCAGTTTTTGGTGAATTAGTTCAATGGCAGTAGCCTTCGAGTAAGGATACCACACTGGTCGGACTACGAACAGAAAGACAAAATGTAAGCGAAGGTTTAGACAAGTCTCTTATGATGACATCAAGAAAAAACTTTCCGTTTTTGGAGGGTTAGGCGTGAATTATTAATAGCAATTAAAATCGTTTCTTGGCCGAAAAATATTCTAATTGGCTATTTTGATATATATCTGAGATTCTCTCACTCATTTTAGGTATATTCTGCCTGCAGTTCTATTGGCCCTACACCTCGTAAGTCTGTCCACGGCACAGTACTTCAGTCATAGGCCACAGCCCAACCAGCTAGCGTTCGCGGACAACCCACAGTACAAGGAGCTGCAGAGGGTGTACGAGTGGAAGAATATCCAGTATGGTTTCCCCACTGAACGGGAACGTGAACAGGTGCTACGAAATGGTCGTTACAATCCCGACAGTCCCATACCCATCGACATAGATGTGTACTACCCTCGTAAGCATTTAAAAAACCCTACAAAATATAGCTGTTTAGCGTACATGATTGAGTCGATCTTTCAGCTCAGGGTGGGCCAGTGCGCCACTTCATCACGACGCCACGTTTCGGCCAGGGTGTACCATACTCCCTGGGCTATGTCACTCAGGTGCAGCGGGAGAACGGCAGCGAGATCCAGGCGTATCCCAGCTACGACTGGCACAAGACCCATGGCGGCGACTGCGATGGACTGACCTCCGTGTACCGGGTGCACATCGATGCCTGCGGCCAGATGTGGATATTGGATAGCGGCGAGATCGAGTTCGTCCAGCACTGTGCGCCCCAAGTTGTGGTCATCGATTTGGCCAGCAACCAGCTGATACACCGCTACCGTCTGCCGGCGGCCACTTTTAAGGCAACGGTCAGCCGATTCGTAACCATCTTGGCTGACATTCAGGATCCTCCTCCGCGGGGAGCGTGCAGGGAGGCCTTTGTGTACTTGGCCGATCCCACGAGCAAGGCCATTGTCGTGTACGATGTCAGGGGCAACAAATCCTGGCGCGTGGAGAACAAGTTCACCTATCCCGACGCAAGGTTTGGCACCCTCACTGTGGCCGGCGAGAGCTTCGAGCTGTTGGACGGACCCTTGGCCATGGTCGTGACTCCCAACGGGCTGGGCCTGCGTCGTCATCTCATCTTTCATGCCCTGTGCAATGAACTGGAGCTGGCCATACCCTTGGATGTGCTGCAGAATTCCACACGATGGCAGCAGGGCCTCAGCTCATCGCTGGAGGAGTTCGTGACCCTGGGCAGAAGAGGTGTGCAGTGCGCTGCACATGCCGTTAGCAGGAGCGGCTTCTTGTTCTGCGGCTTCCTCGAACCCATCGGCATTATCGGCTGGAACATAAAGACACCCTATGCCAGGCCCAATCTCAAGCTGCTCGCCCTCAATCCCGAGACCTTGCAATTTGTGAGTGGCATGAAGATTGTGACACGGCCCAGCGATGGGCGGGAGGAGCTGTGGATTTTCTCGAACCGTCTCCAGAAGGTATTTGCCGGAACCATCAACTACAAAGAGATCAATTATCGGGTGCAGCGCTGCGACGTGGATGACATGCTGCAGGGACGGGGCTGTGGGACGGGCTCTTAGGCAATGTAAACAATCTGTAAGCCTCCATAAAAGATGTCTATAAATCTCGAAAATATTCCCGTTCCCTTCGAGGGTGTTTGCTTGACCCTTGTGTGTACCTGTATGAGATGATGACCTTTTGTTTATGTTCTCGACGCGTCGCCCATTTGGTCAATTAGGGTCTGTTAGTGGCGAACAGGCTAACACCATTTCCGAGCCTGGGCCTACCTGCGCGTCAGTCTTCAGGCATCGTCTGAGCGGTTTGGACGGGCTTCTTTCTCTATCTGCTTCTCTACGTTGAAATGTCGCGGCTCCAAAGTGCCTTAATCCTGCTGGGGGTGCTCTGTTCCGTGCAGTCTCAGAAATTGTTTGTAAAAGAGCTCCACACACTGCATCAGTGGACGAATCTTAGTTCGAGCCATCAGTTCCTGCCCGTGGATGTGGACATCGAGTACGGCGATGAGGGCAGGCACCGCACCTTTCTCACCATTCCACGCCTGAGCCTGGAAACGCCCTTCACACTGGCCACGGTGCTCGCCAGTGACAACGAGCTGGTGGAGAATCCCCGCCTGGAAGCCTACCCCAGTGCCGAGTGGCATATTCCGCCGAACAACTGCTCCGGCATCACCTCTGCCATCAGAACCTTTGTGAGTGCCTCTGAACAGTTTGGATCTCCATCTAGTGCTCATGACATCCATCTTTCCCGCAGATCGATGAATGCTGGCGCCTTTGGGTGGTCGACTCGGGGCAGGTGAACTCGCTGCAGCTGTGCCCCCCTCAGATTCTCACCTTCGATTTGGTCAAGGATGAGCTGGTGCAGCGGCACACATTGCCCCCCAATGCGTACACGCCCAGCGTGTCGATCTTCACGGCTCTGGTGGTGGATCTGGCGGGGAGCGGGGCGCCCAACAAGTGTCTGGGTGGCAGGGCGTACGTAGCCGATGCCTGGGGCTATGGCCTCATCGTTTACGACTCCCTCACGGGCAAGTCGTGGCGCATAGAGCACGATTCGATGAAGCCGCTGTCTGTGGAGCGTCTTGCCCGCTCCAGCAACTCGCACGCGGGCATTTTCACGGTCAGCCTGAGTCCCAGCGAACACGAAGGTAAGGTTGATGTTGTTTGATGTTGACAGAACTCCTTTTACAGCCTTTGCCCGGTCTCTTGCAGATCGATTTTTGTACTTCCACACTCTGAATGGCTTCAATGAGGTCGCCATTCCCCTTTCGCTGGTCAACAACGAAACCGTTTGGCTGTCCGCCAACTCAAGCGCGGTAAAGGATCAGTTTCGCGTACTCGGCACAAGAGGCATCCAGTGCGAATCGGAGGTCATGGACAACTCTGGCAATCTTTACTGCAGCCTCATCAGCTTGGGAGCTCTGATCAGCTGGGAGGAGCACTCCAATTACACGGCGGATGACCTGCGGGTCGTGGCCTATAACCCCAAGAAGATCAAGTTCGTCACCGGGCTCAAGATCAACCGCAATTCCAAGGGCGAGGAGGAGCTCTGGGCCCTGAGCAGCGAACCGAAACTATTTGTTGGCGGCACATTGCGCCAGAATGAGGTCGAGTTCCAGATAATTGGCTGTCGCACAGCTGACCTACTTGCCAATACTCCGTGTACGGTGGGGGCTGCGGAGACCCCGACCACGCCCACGCACGTTTAAGTGTAATATTTAATTTTGAAAAGTTCCAAACTGTCGCGATATCTCGGCTACCGCGTCAGAGCTGACTGCTTCGACACTCGTACTGTAGTCGGTTATCGGTATTACAAGCAACAATGACGTAACATTCCCTATGCACTTACGTTTTATGCTTTGACCTTTTTTGTTTAAACCTTATTTTATAAAAAATCCAATTAAAAAGAGCCAATAAAATTACCGAGTTTAGAAGAAAATTAATTCATCAATCGGATTAAATGATATGTTTAAAGCTGAGAGTCTTTGCTAGCTAGTAATATATAAACGAATATCAAAATCGAGGAATATGGTTTCGGATTAGCCCATTTTTGGCGAGTAGGTCTCACGAAAAGTTGGTATATGGACTATTTTAAGCGCAGTTCAGGCGACACATATCGAGGTCATATTTTTTAAGTATATAGGGGAATGGATATATTACAAACTGTATTTTTTTCCGCGGTTTAATTCAAGTTGTTCACCTGTTTAAATCGAGGGGCTTAAGTGGGCTAAGTTCGGTAGCTCACTCATGATTTATGGTATATCGATAATACCGTATATCGTTATCGGTCTTGTGTTTACGTGTTTTAATTAAATTTTTAAATTATAGAATATGACGAACCTTCAACGCTGGCTTTTTTACGCAACACTCTTCGCAGTGCCCTACCTTTCTGTTGTGCTGGGCACAGTGCAAACGCAGTTGACGAGCAAATATCTGCTGCAAATTCAGCTGCTGCCGCTTCTGCTGCTGGTTCTCTTTGGCGTAAGTGGACAGAATTCATGGAACTCTGCCTTATTAGTAATACCCATCTTGTCCTATAACCCTAGTTATACTCCGTGTGGACTGTGCTGTACCGGACATTTACCTTCAACGATTGCCCCGAGGCGGCAAAGGAGCTGCAGGCTGAGATTCTGGAGGCACGGAAGGATTTGATTGCCAAGGGATTTCGGTTTCGCGACTGACAGAGTGGGCAACATACTACGCTGAAACCTTGTGCATGTTAATTTGTAATTCCATTAATTATAAAAGTTGTATACGAATGTACTGAGAGCCGCTTTTTGGTTTTTGCGAGCGCGGAAAACATTGCAGCCGCATGAAGATGATTTCCCCAGGTGAAAAAGTTGGAAAACAATTGTACATTATCTTAGTGAGGAATTCAAGTACCACATACCCACGAGACTGATTGAGGGTATAGGAAGAAAAGGCATATTGATCCTGTTATGGAAAACAGCGAAGGGAGTGTCACGTGATCGAGGAACGCTGATCGGATATAGACAGCCACACGATCCAGAGTGCAACTGTAATGTAAGTTAACAGCGAAATAAATTTAGAATTCGAAGAGTTCCCCAAGAGTTATAAATTGGTGAGAATGGGATGCCAAAATAAACTTTGCTAAAATTATACTCAATTCAAATCCCATTCCATCTATAACTAACCCAATTCAAGAACGATCAAGCGACTTTAATATCGATACTCGTACAAAAACAACTAAGCCTCGAGGAATATCTGTATTTGGGGGTGCTGCAAGAGCTCCCATGGACCCGTAGCAAACATATATGAGAACCGGTCTGAGCCGAGCCCACATGGGAGCTCTCGTGGCGTGGCATACCTTTTGTAGTTTTACCCTGCCAAGCCCCAATTATGCATGCTAGCAGGTCTGGCTCTTGGGGCTAGCTAGCGCGTCAAGCTTTGAGCACAAACAAAACGCGCTTAGACATCTCTCGCAACAGAACCGCCGCTGGTAACGTGTCCGAAAATTCCATTGAAAGCGAAATGAGTCACAAATTCATTGGTGCCTGCCTGCTGCTGAGCTGCCTGGTCGCCTCTGTCCACAGTGCTGCCAAGGTGAGTCTCTGGCCCAAAGTGGCCCATCCTTAAGTGTACAAGCCCTAGACGAGGCCATGCAAATCAGCGCGCAAAAACACTGATTGCACAACCAGAGTGAAGCGTGTCAGGGCCCCCCGAAGACGCCACAGTAGGCAAGCGTGCGAATATTTAGGTTAAGAAATGCACAAGTGGGAATAGTTGGTGGAAAATACCGACTCTGAATATTGCTTACATGTAGAGTGGTGCTGCACCCTTTTTTGGGCAGCAACAAGTGGAACGGGGTTGAATGAACTGTGGGCTGTCGGAAAATGCCATGCCATGGAAAATCATTCAGCATAATTTCCATTATACTACACATGAGGGTTTCTCCTCGGCTCTGCAGCGCTCTGTTGCCCTGCTCTGATGGTATTTTCGTTTGTTGTTTGTGATGCGAACCGGTTCTGATACCAGTTTCTCATGCTGGGAACCGGTGTGCGCCGGCGACCAACTGCAACTCCACACTTCCCCTCCCCCCATCCCAACCTGTTGTTGTAGTGGTTTCGGTTGTGGTTGCTCCAAGAAAAAAAAAGAATGGTTCTTCCAGCGGTGTGTCAGCGGATTTATATAACTCTGGCTCCGACTCCGAAGCTTTGTTCGTGGAAAAAAAAAAAAAAAAATAATTTGCATATGTGTGTGCACACCATTCGGTTTATTTTTATTATTTTTTAGAAGTCATTGTTAAATTTATTGCGCATCATTTGCCGCTCCTTAGTCACGAGATACAACAAAACTACATGGTTGGATAAAATTAAAAGTAATTTGCTATAAATGGCTGCTTTACCCACTTTGTACTATCAATTTGTGTGTGTAGCTGTGCAGCTCCAGCCTTTAGTTTGTGAATCAGAAGACTCGCTAAATACTCTCTCACAGTAAAGCAGCACACACTGTTTCAGAAGAAATTATATTCAGAGTATTTTATAATTAAATTTCAAGAGAAATGAAAATGAATGGGCTGTATGAGTTTCTCTCAGACTTTATTAAAATCAGACTTTATAAATTCTGAATAATTTCAAGCAGTGCGCACAAATTTGTACATATGTCTAGTTTTGGAATCAACTGTCTTATGTGACGACTGTACTTATGGTCTGCATATTTTTTAGCATTTCAATTGTTAGCTTCCGTTGTTAGCTTTTCCAAAATTATATATTAAATCTAGTTTTATTTACTGGATTTTATTACTGTTAAAACCTAGTGCCAGACCCAATAGTAGCTGATGCATACTGTATTCAGTCGGAACGGAAACAGCTTTGCTTTGATTGAATCTGTGAATCAGACAGCGATCACGACCACTTAAATTGATGAAAAGAAAAGAGAGAGAATAAGTGGAAGACCCCAACCCAGAGCAGATTCATTAGCTGAGATCAGCGCCTTTTGGTTGATTTGAACTGAGCCGTCAATTGGGAGACTCGATAAATATGTATGTACTTACGATCTGTACGATATTAAGTAAAGTAATGGCCCGAATGGTAATTCGGGTCACGAACCGGGCCCTGCATACAAGCTACATAATAAAACTATGCCCATCTGTCCATTCGTTTACGTAGTGAATTTTCACAGATATTACACTGCCGTTTCATCGTTGGTATTTTAAATCTTCTTCTGCAACTCACACAAACAAATGCTAGTTAAAGTTCAACAATATTTTTAACTGCCAAGTGACGCATGTCGCTGGCAGCATGTGGCAGTTGTCCCCCCCATTCGACAAACAAAGAGTAATAATATTGTGCAGTTGCCAACTCATCCGCAAATGATTTGCATGCGACAACTGGGCTGCACTCTCGAAAAATGCAAATTGCAGCCTAAACAACTGTTTTCCATTCTCTGTTCCCGTGTCTCAGGTGCCCATTGCCATTTACTACGAGTCCCTGTGCCCGGACAGCGCCAAGTTCATTACGGAGCAGCTCTATCCGGCCGTAAAGGGGGAGCTGCGCGATGTGGTGGATCTCACTTTTGTGCCGTTCGGCAAGTCCCAGGTGAGTTTTGTGGCAGTGGCCACGGAGGCGTTCAGGACAATGCATGCTCATTTGCATCCGAATCTGCTTGCCCCTGCAGTTCTTCACGCAGGGCGCCGAGGTGACCTTCACCTGCCACCATGGACCGAACGAGTGCTACGGCAACAAGGTGCATGCCTGCGCCATCGAGCACATCCAAGCCAACTCCTACCAGATTGAGTACACGCGCGAGTCGCTGACCCTCGACTTCATCAACTGCCTGATGCGGGCCGGCAAGAACTTCCCGGACAACGTGTACCCCGGCCAGCGCTGTGCCACCGAGAACCACATCAACAACTGGGAGAACATCAAGACCTGCGCCAACTCCACCGAGGGCAATCAGCTGCTTCGCAAGGCCGGCGAAACCACCCAGCGCCTCAAGGACCCGCTCGCCAGCGTGCCCAGCGTACTCTTCAACGAGGTGAGTGCATCGTCATCTGGCATGGAGCTATTCAGCTTATCTTATGTTTCATTGGCTTGCAGCAATTCGAGAAGAAGGTCAACGAGCGTGCCCAGGTCAACTTCGTTGGCACCCTCTGCCAGTACGTCTCGGCGCCCCAGCCCCGAATCTGCGCCCAGCACAATGCCGCCGCAGCTCCTGGCCTGGCCAGCGTAAGCGCCATCCTAAGCTCCCTGCTGGGTCTTTGGTTTATCCGCTCCTTCTACTAAGCTGTCTGAATCTACATCTACATCTGAATCTCAAACTGCATCTGCTTCCTCCCCAACTTCCGTCCAATGGGGAATCTCAATGCCTTATCATTTGTATTTTCTCTTTATTTCTGTTTACTGGTTTGCTTCCAGGACAATTGAAACTCAAGCCGTCCAATCGTCCAGCTCGAATATATCAGTATATCAAAGATCCAATTTATTTTGCAGAGCTGGACTGCTCTTAAATGTAACAATTAAATAAAACATTAAAAACAGAAAAATTGTGAATATTGCGTTTATACTTATACTTAAAGATATTAAAGTTTAGATGTCAATAATATTAATATCTCCACTAGGAATGACTTGTGGAGAATATTGGAATAGTAGGCCAAGCCTCCTACGAATAGAAAACCTATCCAATTACGCAGGAAGAAGCCTGACACTGTCCAAAACATAAAACAATTTGGATACAAAACTCTGGATCATGATATTGTAGAAGAACAATATAAGTTCCTAACTGATTGACTAGGGTAAAAAATTGTTGTGTTTATAATTGATTGTGGTGTAGGGTCCAACCATCATTATGATTAGAATTCTGTATAATTGTTCAGTCGTTCCACGATCTTCGTTTTGATGTTTGCGTTGTCCCTCTTCTTTCCTGTGTTAGGGATAGTTTCGTAGAATTACTAACCTTTGTGCTCTCAGACCGTTGCAATCAAAATTCTGGATCCACAAAAAATGTCTTCTCAAACGCCGTTTAACGTGGAACTGTGATTAGCATTTTCTCCTAAGTCTAGAGCCTATTTCTAAATGGAGCATAATGTTTGATCGACCGAGGACGCTTTTCTCAATTTTTTAACGGCATAGGACTGTTCTACAATCGTTATCTTTTATGTCGTATTTAATCGGACATATACATATTGGTATTACATATTTCTGAATACAGTTCAAGAGTCATCCACGTCAAATCGCATACTCGTAAACTTCGAGTCTTAATTACTTCAGGGGATCCCCAATGTGCAAAAGTGTTTCGGGTACTACTTGTAGTCGAATTTAGAGAGAAAACAAAGCGATGGCATCAACTTGTTTATTTTCATGATCCGCTATGAAGCTGTTGTTGTTTCTCTGTTAAATTTCTGGGAAAAATCGGGTTAAGTCAGGGAGCAAGCTCTTCAATGTATTTGGCTGAATGGGTCGAAAGTCCACTCGGATGATGCACCTTCAACGGACTGCAGCATGGGGAGAGATGAGTGCTGGCGAGGAAGCCCCTCGCACATACATAGGTGGTGGGAGCTTACCCGTAATTCACATGTTTGTTGTCAAATATTTTGATCGCTCTGCGGAGCAGCGTCAGCTGCTTATCGTGTAATTTGTTTTTGGTGCGAGGCGATAAGCTGCCAGGCGGCTCCTGGAATCGGTAGTGCTGCTGTGGCTGTGGCTGTGGGCTGGGGCTTGGGCAGCAACAGGGAGGAGAGTTCGCCGGATAGATTACAGCAGATGGGGAGCCGATGGGAGGACTGGTGGGAGGCTATCGCAGAGTCGGGTAATTGTTGTAAACAAGTCATTAGCAAATCAATTTGCGGCCGCTGTTGATATGCAAATGAGATTTTCTTTACACCAAATATGCTGAGCTAGGGGAAAATTGAAAAGCACCTCACGTGGACATCTGTGGGGGTACGGTAGGGTTCACAGTGCACTGGGCCCACGGCACTGTGGCATCTACGTCAGCAGCGGCGAGTGGCAAGTAGAGCAGGTGCAAAATTCATTCATTCATTCATGTATTCATATCTGTTCAATTGACGCGCACGCAGCTCTGCGGTGGCAGAGGCCCGAGCAAATAAATCTGAGCGCGTTGCTAATTTGACGTGCCCCGGGACAGTCCTATTCCATTTGCAGTCCCATCCCTGCCCGGCCCGGCCCTGCCCTGACCATGGCTCAAAGGAAATGCTCTTTGGATACTCCCACGCATTTACGCGCTGCCCATCCCAATCCCAATGCCAATCCGAAACCCCACCCATGGCATTCGCAACGACCAAAATACCATTGCATACATCTAGGCACCCGCTGCCAGCGAGCACTTCGTGCGGCACACTCGGCTCTCAGGTCGCTTCTGATTGGCTGGCACGCGGCAGCCCACACACACGCTCGCACCCACGCACACACACAGACAGCCAGCGCCCCGTCTTGCAGTATAAAGCTGGCCCGTCTGCGTCCGGCGGCATCACAAGAACTCCGGCCTGCAGTCGAGCCACACACAACACCAACACCAAATACCGCCGAGCAGAGACATCCTGAGAGGAGGACGAAGGAGCAAGTCAGTCGTTTTGGCCAGTGAAGTGAAAGTAGGTGTTCCCTCGGCGCGAATCTATTCTGTGGGCAAACAAGTGAAAAGTTTGTGTTGAACGAAAGAAAATTATTGGAAAATTTCTCCCAACTTTATACTCATTAAAAACACTTGGTGAGTAGCGCCCACACGAAGATGGGCCTGTCTAATCCATAAGATAAGCCCGATCACAGCTGAGATACTTTTGTTTGCTTTAATTGTCGGAACCGCTTGCCAGGAACCAACTAATTTGCATTTGGCCTGGGGCCAGGCGTGTGCTTGCCTTTTTGTTTATTTGTTCAATTTAATTGAATCAAATTAGATTAAGGCTCATAATTGCAGCCCAGAGTGGCCCACCCCCCTTCCCCCATCTGGCCCTGGCTGACGTCTATTATCCGCTTTGATTAATTTTTCATAATGCACCCCACACTCTCACTCCCACTCCCACTCCAAAGAGCCGCGGGCCGTGCGTACCCGCTGCCAAAGTTGAAACTAGCAAACGGCATCAAATTCCTCATTTGCCCAAGACCAAGTTGAGAGATGAGTGGAGCTGCTCCTGCTGAAAGTCAACAGTTACTCGTACATCGTGCCAGCTGTATAAATCATGCATAGCCGTAGAAGCAGGCAAGCAGCCAAGCAGCCAAGCAGCCAGCCAGATGCTGATGCTAGACTTGTTGCTGTTCCCCAGTAACTTTAACTCGATTTGGGAACTCTCCTTTCCCGAGTTTTGCTAGCTAGTTAATTGACTTACAGTGATTTATAGTCGAAGCAGTTATGGCAATTCCCCATGCAGAAGCATTTCAAATGTTAGCCAGTTTACATCTAATAAATGTTTAAATTCTTAATGTTTTCCCTTTGAGTTTGAGCGCTAAATAAGTTGGTAATTAACTCTAAATTGAATTGAATGATATTAAATTGAGTGCACTACGTTTGTGCAGCTTTTGCATTTCCATATTTTATCTTTATTCAATTCATAATTATTTTCGCAAATTAAAATTAATGAAATTGTCAAAATGGGACAAATGAATAGGCAAATGCAAATATTTATTCAATTAAATGCTGTACTTTTACATTTTACATCTAAAAGCAAGCAAAACAACGAACATGTTTTGCTTTCAAAAGTATTTATTGGAAATTTTAAGTTATATTTAATTAAATAATACATTTTTTACAATTAAATTGCTTAATTAAACAAAGAAATAATTGGAGTATGACTACAAATATTTTGTTTCTTGTTCAACGCTCTTCAACATAAGTAGCCCTTAGAATACTTATCCTCCGTTTGAATCCGATCTAGAGGCTTTACTTTACTTAAAGAAAATTTCAGTTCTTTCTTTTCCCGCTCTTTGTTGCACATTTTAAATAAAAGGCAGCTAAAAAAGAAGAATTTTGTTGAATTAAATATTGAAAGTGTTTCAGAAATATTGATAAATTTCCATATTGGCAAAACTTCCATCCACAAACTTGAAACTTCTACTCCAATTGTTTGGCACCACTTTTCGCTCCAATTTAAACCCCTTAACACACGCCTGGGTGGATCTCTTTATCTTCAAATCGATTCCAGCCCAAGTGGCTCGGCCCCAACTCCAATCCATGCCAAAGGCACGCTTCTGTAGGCTGACCTGGTTAGCATTAGCTTCGTTTTGCTTTGTTCTGTTTGGATTATCAGTTGAAGATTAGAAAATTTCACACGGAAACCAATCGAACTGGTGTTCGTGAACTTTGCATTGGCAGATGTTGATTGGGTTTCGGATTGGGGTACACCAGGACCAGCACGAGGGGGATCTACGGGTACATGGCATATCTAGCCACAGCTCGGCAGCACCTGTGGAAAGTTTTTCAAATGTAATTTACGATGACCTAAAGCCGCACGAACGGGTATTAGTGACAGGTGCTCCTCCCGTCGCCACAGAACCATCTCATTAGGGCATCATTATGATGACTAAATAGCTGGGAAAATTGATAAACCGGGGTCGACTGTCGGTACTGTCGGCACTGTCAGCCCTGCGCCCTCCGTCGGTAATCATGTTTGTTTTTTTGTAATGAGAATTCTGTTATTGTTTTCGCTGGCGTGGGTGTGGGCATGGGTATGGGTGTTGATTTTTGCTGCTCTGCAGTAGCATTCTACATATTAATAATCACTTATCGGCCGACCATAAATTTAGCCCGAACAGCTCCTCAAAATAGCCCCGGCAAACGACAGGAATCGGAATATTAATGGGGCGCGACTTCGAGTGGGAGTGGGAGCTGAGAGCTGGATGGATGCACGCGTGACACGGATTGCGCGCAGATTACCGGATAGATTGCGCGGCTTATCAGTACGGCTCGGACGGTAAGGGGCGCCCGTTCAGCATCCAATGTGGCATATAGATCGGGACGAGTCAACCGATCGGCCTCAGTCGCTGGCGGGTGCTTGAAAATGTGAAATCGTGCTCAAGAATTCGGCTGATGGTGGCGGAGATCAAGTGAAACTGGCAAAACATCCGCCCCAACCGCAGTCGTGTCTGTGATTACAGAACCCCATGTAGATTGTGGACAGGCAGGCAGGCGAATAAAATTAGAAAAAAAATAAGCTCAAACCAAGTGTACTCGTACTGGCAGTGACTGCTGCTGATAAACAGGGTTTATCAAGGCAACCTGTTAGCGGAAAGGAAAACAAAGGGGAGTTACGTGCACAATAATCGCGTAGCTGAGGTGAGTGAATTTCCCCATCTGTAGCGGCACAGCTGCAGTCGCATCCGAGTGCGACACGCGACTGGGTTCGGTTCTTAATAAACTTAATTACGCACACACTTGCCACATGATTGATGTGGGAGTAGAACGGGGGCTGTAAAATCCATCAGGCATCATCTGGAATCAAATTTTAATTTCGGTTTTAGGCCCACACACACACACTTAGACACAGAGACAGACTTAGAGAGAGAATTCATGCAGGTCTCGGCAAATGAAATGAGTTTATTCCTTTATCTTCGAAATATCTTGGTTGTTCTGGGAATGGAATTCAAAGCACGTAATAAACAAACATTTGCCGAGGTTCCACGTTTGCCACTTTGCCCTCAAGTTAATTGTCTTTGTTGTCTTTGTGTGTGTGTGTGTGTGTGTGTGTTTGTGTTTGTGTGTGGGCGTTACATAAATCATAGTTCAAAAAGTTTTTGCAGCCCAGGATTAGCTCCCTAAATGCATATATGTATGCTGAGTTCTGACTCTTTACCGTCGTGTGTTCGGATTTCCTAATTAGTGTAGCACACCCTCCGGCACCGCGGCACCGCGTCACCGTCTGTCATTGCCAGACCTCAACAGGTGCCGAACTGTCTCTAACTCTCCCCCCTTCTTTATTCTCTTTATATTACAGCTATCATGAATTCCACCATTTCGCTGCTGCTGGTTGTCATCTGCACCGTGGTCCTGGCCGCCCAACAGAGCCAGGCGAAAAGTGAGTAGCCCCTAGTCCACACATAGTTTAAACTTTAATGCCTCGTTATGGTACGCTGCGGGAATGCATCGCCATGAATGTATCGCATTCAATTTAAGAGCGAAAAACAAAGCCATAAATGTGTGACATATCCAGACATATCCGCTCCTTGGCAGCATCAATTGTTGCAGCTTAATGCAAGGCAAACAAACGGCGTCCTTCCAGCGACAGCCATTGACATGAACCCCCAGAGTCTTTGTTTATGCAGCTGCGGCAACAACAAGGTGGGCCAGTGTGACTATAAGGTGTGCAATTTTCCATTTCCCTGCTCCTCTTGTGCCGGTAAAGTGCCACCAGAAGTCATGTGTTGCACATTCACCTCTTAAAACGGGTTTTATGCAGGAAAATGCAATGGGGGCACCAACGCACACGACTCGAGAGGGGGAAACTGGTAGAAGAAGACACAGAACAGACACGGAACGGCAACAATAGAAACTGAAATACGTTTCATAATAACCCAAACCTAAATTGGCAATATTCACATTTTTATTTCATTATCTTGCAGAAACTTAGAATACGAAAATGTGCAATTTCCATTTCACTGCGATTCAGTTTCAGTTTTCTGTTCACTTTTGATTGAATATTCTCGTTTATATATGCTGGCTATGCCCTTACATATGTATATGCATGTGTGTACATAATTGGATGATCATCTGAATCCCAGTTCGCATCAATTACCGAAACTTTTCGATTTGATTGCCTTTGAAACAGCATTTACGAGTAGTCTGTTTGGGGGTAGCCTACTCCCAAAGTGAGTTTAGGGCAAGACATCCACAGGTCGTCGAAGTGAAAGCTACCCTAGGCATCGAGGCATTGCGGTAGTCAGCCAGAGACCATGAGGAATCCGTGCTACCCTTCTGCACAATCTCTTTGGAGCTGTGCGAATGTCAAGGACAACTCCCTCGAGTGCGGATGGGGGAAATTTATGTTTGCTTCGCCCGTGTGGGCGGAAATTCAAAAATAGCAAGCAGTCAAAAGTTAATACGCATACTCGCAGGCAGGGTGGGTCAAATGGTTATCACAAGATGTCTCTCCCGAGCATTGGCGAGCGATTAAAGATTTCGGCAGTCTATCTGCCCCGACCCACATGCTCGTAATGGTACAAAGTTTTTTTGTGTCGTGCGCTGGGGAGGTGCTCGCACACGCACAGGTCGTGCCTCGTATAAGGGGGGGGTTTGGGATGCCTGGATATGTGTGAGTTGAAATCGATTTGGCGCCCAGCTAGAAGCGATTGCAATTTCTTGGTCACCTGCCTATGGTTAATTCATTTTCGATCTTTACCCTTGCAGAGGGATGCCAGGCCTACGGCCATGTGTGCTATGGGGGCCACGGCAAGCGCTCCCTGAACTCCGGCACTGGGGCGGGAGCGGGCGAGTCTGCGGCTGAGCAGGAGTATGTGCGTCCAAATGGCCTGCTGCCCATGCTGGCGCCAAACGAACAGGCACAGGCGCTGCCCGAGGGCGACTTTGATGACTATCCCGCCCGTCAGGCCCTGTACAAAATCATGAAGTCATGGGTAGGTGTAATGCGTCTGGGTCTCCACCGGGTTCGGCTCCACTAACACGGAATGGCTTCCCTTTTTGCAGTTTAACCGTCCACGACGACCGGCCGCACGTCTGGGTGAACTGGACTATCCCCTGACCAACTCCGGAGAGTTGTTCAACCGCGATGCCCCGCTGAATGCATTGAACTAAGCCACTGACTGCGACACGAACTAAACTACTACATGGCCGCACTGCACCACCATCCGCATAAGCATCAGCACCAGTAACACCCAATCCAATGGAGTACACAGCACCCAACATCCCATACCCTGCACCGACAACAAAAGTAACTAACCAAACTTACTATGAGTGTTAACTACATACCCTATGCAAAAAATGTATAGAAATGTTCGATAAGTGTCTACAAATAGCGCAGATAGCGCAAGAAATGTTTCTGCTTTCAACTCTTAGAGCGCATCAAAAAATAACTGAAATTTTTAGGGGCTGGTAAGGATTTCAGTGCACAAAAAAAATATATATATATAGAGGAGATGACAGATGAATAAAACCGATCAAATGCAATTACAACGTGTTTCAATATCTTTATATGTACATTACACATACGAGTACACAAATTATTTATGTTTATTAACGATCGAGGAAAGCGAAAGACTATACATATGTAGCTGTAATTTTACTTTAAATATAATAACCCATACGGCACGGATCCACCCATCACACTGACACTGGGTAGCCGTGCAAAGTATATATTGTATATGTATGTTAATCATTAATCGTTATAAGTGTATAAATGTTATATTATGACAATGCAACCCATAAAATGTTCACAAGAGTTTCTATTTATAATGATAAAAGTGGTTAAATAAATAAGCTAATGTGCTACAGAAGCAACAAAATGAAAGTAATCGCTGGTTTTTATTTCACACGGCAACAACACATTGTACCAAATATGCATAATTATGAAGGTGAGTCAACGAAGAAATTCAAATTTGCTTTTCCTGGCGCCAATACGAGACTATTGGTCACATTGATAGTCCATTTTTAGTGTTGCACCACACTCCCTTACATGTTATGGTCGTATTACATTAGACTGAGATCCACGCTTTATTGGTGCGGCCCCCCCGGGGGGGGGGGGGGGGCGGGGGGGGGGGGGGGGGGGGCGGGCCCGGCGCGGGGGGGGGCGGGGGGGGGGGGGGCACCCCCGGCCGGGGCCCCCCGGGCCCCGGGGGGGGGGGGGGGGGGGGGGCGGGGGGGGCGCACCGGGGGGGGGGGGGGGGGGGCGGGGGGCGGGCGGGGCCGGGGGGGCGAGGGGGGGGGGGGGGCGGGCCCCCCGGGGGGGGGGGGGGGGGCAAGCTCTAGGAGAGTCCCTGGTTGTTCGCCTGTTTAATAGCCTATTTACACTGACATGAGTTACCTATCGATAGTTGAGTTAACTCAATAGCTCAGCATGGGCGTCTACACTGGCACAAATAGTAGCCCAGCTACTAATCATACAATTTGTCTACCCTTTTACTTTTTTATACCCTTTTACTTTAATAGAAGAGGAGTGAGAGAGTGTCGTAGCAAGTGGAGGAGTCCCGGGATATATGAATGTATGTGATTAAATTTTTAAATTTTTACAGAATAAAACATAGGCATGTGTATTGGGCTAAGTTAAGTAGATTTTCATTTATTGGAGTTCATGTTTGTAAATTATTCAAAAATTATCGTCAAGTTCTTTGCCTATTAATGTGGGATATAAATAAGTCTATGATTTCAACCACAGGATTAGCATACAAAATATTGCGCACTCCGTATGCACTTCCGAGACAGATTTTAATCTTCTCGCGTTGTTGTCTCTGTTCGCTCACCCAGGTACGAACAATATTCACAAAGTTCACATTTTTTGTTGAACGAAAAAATGGTATACTCATAACTTTCAAGTTCGGCAGCCCCTTCACGAGGTCCATAAGTTGGTCATTAGTAATGATTAGCATATATATGCGAAGGTAAAGAAGGTTCTTAAGTTTCAGTAAGTCTGCCAAGGGGACGGTTTTTCCGGATATACATATGGAGTTCTTTGAGGGTAGAAATATTGCACAGTTTTTTAAGCTGTGCCTTCAGAAAATCCCCGTACAGGACAAGACCCAAAGGAGAACCCTTTTTGTTGATCAAACCCCTAGATGAACGATTCGCGTACAGACCCGCGTAATTTCAGTTCCAAATGTTTCAGCCTGGGTAACTGGCCGACCAGCTCATAGGTAAACGATGATTCGAAGGAATTTCTTTTAAAGGCCAGATGTTCCAGCTGCTGGCAGTTTGCCACCAGAATTTCAAAAATGTTCTTACTCAAATTTTCAATATTGTGTAATTTAAGAACCCGCAATTTCTTCATTGTCTTACAGCAATCCGCAAAGTTCTCACTATCGGAACCATTCAAGCATAAAATTTCCAGAAATTCCAGTTCATCGAGATCACGCCATCCTTTCCTGCTATATGGATAAGCACCCAACTTCAGTTTCCGTAGAGACGGGAGCTTGGGATTGAAAACGAAATCCATACACATACTATATTTTCCTGTGTCATATTTAGCCCTGTACCTGTTGGTTAAAGCTTTCCATCTGCTCACGCTCGGAGTATAAAACACATTCAATTTTTGGAGATTCGAGCAGTACAACCGCAAAAGCCACAGACGATCATAGATTTTCCAAGTACAAAAAATTTCATCTTGATAGCTAATCACATGTTCACCAACGATCTGCAGCAGTTGTTTCTTTGTTAAAGTTCTGGCAAGATATTAAACAATTAATAGAGCGCCAGTTCCAATACATGTATTCGATATACACACAGAAAATCGCTCCTTGAGCACACTGCGATCCTTGTCCTTGACTTTGCCAGCCACTAGCTTGGGCAGCTCGTCCAGGGAGTAGATACCCTGCAGCATCTTGGACCAGGTCTTCTTATAGCTGGCCTTCAGTTCGCGTATCATTTCCAGATAGCTGTGCTCGCAATCCGGCTCCGCCAGCGTGACCAAATCAATGAGGTTCGAGCGTTGCAGCGACTTAAGGATATAGTGGATGTTGTTGAGGCGAAAGAGATGCTTGGTGGCCTGGTCGTTGTACTGCTCGCACTTGTTCATAATCGACAGATTCAATTCCGCCAAAGCTTTTTCTGCATAGAGAGGAAATATATTTATGGAATACAGATTGCCATTGCCACTCACTTATGTAGATGGCCAGCAGAGCCTTGTTGCGCTTCTCGCCAGGCAGCGCCTTCTTCATCAGTATGGTGTCCAGCTGCGTGGAGTAGAGCACATCCGGGGCCAGTATGGAGCCAATCACATCAAAGTGCTCATACAAATTCTCAATGAACCAAATGGTATTGGAGGTCAGCTCGTGAACGGTGGCATCCTTGGGCACATTGCTCTGGCCGACGATATTTGTGCTCGATTCGCCCTTGACCACGTCCAGGAAGTGCTCCAAATCCTTGGCGCCCGTATGCTGCAGTTTATTGAGCACCTTGGTGAGCTGTTCTCGCTGCGCCGGATCGTATGTGCGCTCAATGTCCGGCTGCAGCAGTATGACACGCTTCAGGGCGGAAAATATACCCAGGGCCGAGGTCCACTCCTTGCGTGAGATGCAGCGCAGGATGCGCTGGGTAATGGCCTCCGCATCCTTGACCACCAGCTCGATAGCATTGAAGGCGAGACGGGCAAAGACCTCGTTGTGCTTCGACTGCGGTATTATGTCGTGCATAATGGCTCGCTCCCAGTTGAGCAGCCGCTGCAGGCCCAGCAGCATGACCAGCTACTTGTCCAGCTCCTGGTCCTGGTCCCCATCTAGCAGGTCCTCGGAGGTCAAGTGATCTGAATGGGATGAAGCCTTCTTAATGGAGAATCCAGTCGACTGCTCAATGGTTTGTGTCGCCCGCAGATACAGCTTGTTGGCCTTCTTCTCGAAACTGCAGGAAATATATATTTGGGAATTAGTTAAGCTCAGGGAATGGGAATAGATTCCACTTATTACATTTGCTGCAGACGCGCCGAGGTGTTCTTCTTGGGCTCCGCTTGGCGTCCGCTGTGGCGAGGTCTCTGCAATAAGTTCGACAATCAATTTGTTTGTAGGCCAAAGGAAACACGCAAATGAATTTCCATTCTCTGAATGTTTGAATACAGATTTATTTGATTTTTTGTTTGGGGGAGTACATAAAACACATATTAAAATCTTAAGCTTAGGTTGGAGATTTGGATGCGCCAGCGATCCGACCTTAGGGCGATCCCTTAGAGGGTTTTTAGAACATCCAAAATGCGATTACAATCCTCATCGTTGGACAGGCCAATGTTTTTTAAATCATCCCTCTCCATGGAGGCGAGCTCGACCAAATCGATGTGAGCCCTCTCGAAATTATCCACATATTTCTCCAGGCCAACATGCACGAGGACCTGCTCCACATTGGATCCATGATTGAACACGTACGCGTGATTAGAGGCCATCACGGAGCGACGACGCGACTCGCGGCACAGCGACGCGTCAATATTCGAGTCGTCTGAGAAGGTGTCCGAACTTCTGTTGCTCTTCTGCTCCCGCTCGGGGCCGGGGCCTTCCCCGACTGGAGCTACGACCTCCGTGCGATGCAAGTGGTGCATATATTTCTTCATTGGCAGCTTCTTGGAGGTCTTGGCCAACATGGTCTTTGCGGGACTCATCAGGGCGCGCATACTCTGTATGGGCGACATGTTGGGCGATCGGAAGGCGCCGGTGATTGGCGTGGAGCAACGCACATTCGGGGTGTTCACATTCAGGTGGTTCCACCGCAGCGTGGGAGTGAGATTGAAGTTGAATTTGGTCTTGTACGTCGCACACCCACGTACAAGACCAAATTCAACTTCAATCTCATTCCTCCATTTTGTTTCACAATTGAATTTAAATGACAATTACACTTGGACAATGATACGGCAAGAACACGCTGATAAAATGGCAATGGCGGTGCCCAAGCGCACTGGGAAACTTTTTCGACATTGTCCCGTTGCACGAAGTGTCAGATAATGGATAATGCAGAGTTGCATTCGGTTACGGTACTCACCAAAGCTTCGTGGCCCCAGCTGTTGCTCTTCTGATGATCTTTCAGCAGCTGCAGCGAGCGCAGCACCACATCCCCCCTCTCCGTGGCATAGATGTGGGTGTACTCGCGCATGTCGCGCCCGAAATCGTGAACAACTCCTCGCGGGTGGTCTGCGACAGTTGGCGAAAGGAGGTGTACTCATCGCTGGATGAGTCATCTTCAATGTAGATGAGATCCAGCAGCTCCACTGGCTTCAGTGGGGCACTGTGCTTTTTCAGCAGCATGCTGTAGTGCTGGTTCAGGCCCTCGCAGCCGGTGTTGAAGAGACTGGTGACATTTTCCAGCTCGACACTTTGCGAATTGTTGTGCAAAAAGTAGTCCATGGCGGCGCGCAGCTTGGCCAGCGCCTCCAGAAACACGGATATGTTTCCCTCCAGCGGCCCCTGATGTATAAGCTGGCACACCTCCTGGGAGACATCGTAGTGCGAGAGTACGCTCTCCAGGCAATTGAGTGTTGCCTCTAGGTCTGAAAAAGAGGAGGTGACCAGTTTGATATATATGTGTTTGATGTGGACAAGGGACTTACTTTGCTGTCGCTTCTGTAGCTGCTCCGTTTCCTGATACACGGGCAATATAGTTTGCTCTAGGTTACCAAGGCGCTTCTCAAAGATGGTAAGAATGCTGGACATTTGCGTGGAGAGATCATGGTACTTATCCAAATTGGTTGCCAAATTGGCCAAATTGGTTGCTTCCTTTAAAAAATCACTATAAATATGTCCACAGGTTTGACAACTGTTGTTACCTTTTCCAATTTGTTGTGCGCCTGCAATGAACTATCTAGATTGTTTATTTTACTGCAAACAAGCTAATTATAGCTTAATTGTATTAATTTTTGTTGAAATGTACGAAAAAACACTTGTAAATCCATCAAGCGTCCGAACCTGAATAATCGGACAATAAGTCACACACCAGTACCTGATCAATGTGGCAACACAGCTGCGATCAAACCCCTGTCATCCAAGCGATGATTTAATAAAAAAAAAAAAAATAAGAAGGTATATTTCGGTATATTCCGAAGAATATTTTGTCGGTAAGGTCACACTGCGTTCCACACGTGCTCCGTCCGTAAACATTCCGCGCCATTCGTATTCACTGAAAATAAATAAACAGAATGACAGAGGATAATACCGAGTCGGAGCCACGGGCCGTGTTCAAGGAGAGCAGCAAGATCTTTCGCCGCAACCGAGCGCTGGGCTATGTTAGCAACCAAGTGCCCGCCGTGACGCGGTACGTGCAGCGCCGCAGAGACACGCTGGTGATCACCTGCATCGGGCGCTCCTTCCAGGTGTACACTGCCAGCCACTTTCGCCTGCTGCATGTGAGTGGCCTGCACCCGGACGACATTACGGCCCTGGCCACCGACAGGCTGCACACCTACACGGCGAGCAACAAGTGTATCTACGCGTGGCGGGCTGGCAAACACATACGCCATGTCTATCGTGGCCACAACCGTGATGTGCACCTACTGCTGCCGTTTGGCTCGAATCTGATTGCCGTGGACCACGAAAACGTGCTGAAAGTGTGGAACATTTTCAGCGAGGATGTGTACCTGGAAATTCCGTTCAAGGTGGAGGAATTCCAGATCACGGCTGTAGCTCATCCGCCCACGTACATAAACAAGATAGTGCTCGGCTCCCGCCAGGGCCAGATCAAGATCCTAAACATCAAGAAGAACAGCATCGTGTGCACCTTCAATCACCACGAGAGCCGGGTGACTTGCATAGAGCCGGCGCCTGCATTGGACGTGGTGGCTGTGGGACATGGCGATGGTGCCATTATCGTGCTGAATCTGAAGTTCGACGAGGTGCTTATGGCCTTCAAGCAGGACTGGGGCGTGGTCACCAGTCTCGCATTCCGCACGGACGGTCCGCCCATTCTGGTATCGGCGTGCCGGAACGGGTACATGGCCTTCTGGAATCTGGAGGAGCGCAAGCTGGCCGGCCAGCTGCAGGCCCATGAGCAGCAGGTCACCACGGCCATCTGCTTTCCCAGCGAGCCGGTCGTGTTCACCACCTCCCCCGACAACTCCATGAAGCTCTTCGTCTTCGACATGCCGGACGGGGGCGCACGCCAGTTGCGCATTCGGGAGGGGCACACCAAGCCGCCGTTATGCATACGTTACCATGGCAGCTCCGGTGTATCCATACTCTCCTCCGGCGAGGACAGCACTTTGCGGGTCTTTTCCACCCTCTCCGAGTCTCTGAACAAGAGTATGGGCAGGGCCTCCTACAACCCAAAGGCCACCAAGCACAAGAGTGAGTGAGAGTGATGCTTTGAGGCATTCAAAGTATAATTTCTTCCCTTTTGCAGATCGCTTTCAGTTCGACAAGTTCAGCATGCCGCCGATTCTGGAATTCACATCGGACACGGCACGCGAGAAGGAGTGGGACAACATAGCGGCCATCCATGCGGGCATCATACAGACCACCACTTGGACGTTCGACAAGAGCCGCATGGGCGAGCACCGCCTGGTGCCGAAGCAGTTCCAAAACAAGAACCGCGTCAACTTCGAGAGCGAGACAACGTGCATTGTGCTGACGCACTGCGGCAACTTTGTGATCATTGGATACAGCAGTGGCGACATCGAGCGCTTCAACATCCAGTCGGGACTGCATCGCGCCAGATATGGTGCGCCGGCCCACACGAAGGCCGTGCGGGGATTGGCCAGCGACAATCTCAATCAATGCGTGATTTCCGGCTGCTCGGAGGGACTGCTCAAGTTCTGGCCCTTCAAGGGAAAGGGTAAGGACTCCCCAGCCCTCGGGCATTGGTACAATTATTCCACTAAGTCCTCTTCGTTCTGCAGTTGACAAGCCCCTGGCCGTGCTGCGCCTGGCGGATGGCATTTCGATAATGCGACAGCACCGAGAGAGCTCGATGCTGGCCATTGGTTTGGAGACCTTCAAGGTGTACGTGATCGACATGCACACGCGGGTGATTGTGCGAAAGTTTGTGGGTCACACGGCCAAACTGAACGATCTCACCTTCAGTCCAGACAGCCGTTGGCTGATCACAGCCGCCATGGACTCCACAATCAAGGTGTGGGACATACCCTCCTCGTACATGATTGACCACTTCCGTGTCGAGCGGCCTTGCGTCTCACTGAGCATGTCTCCCAATGGCGACTTTCTGGCCACGGCTCACGTCAATCTACTGGGCATCTACCTTTGGGCCAACAAGACCCTGTTCAATCAGATTTCGTTGCGTTCCATTGACCCCCATGAGCCAGCCCCATACGTTGGACTGCCTACAAACGTTTGCGATGCCATGGATCTAGAGGATGGCATGAAGGAGCTGGAAATCGATGGGGATGACGACGAACTGGGCGAGGCGATCGATGCCCAATACGAGACGCCCAAGCAGTTGGCACCCGAGCTGATTACCTTATCCGGACTGGCTGCCTCACGCTGGCAGAATCTTCTGGATTTAGAGCTTATCAAGCAGCGCAACAAGCCCAAGGCCCCACCCAAGGCGCCGAAACAGGCGCCTTTCTTCCTGCCCACTGTGTCTGGCCTGGAGATGCGCTTCGATGTGACCAATGCGGCCTCAGACAAAGACAGCTCCCGCATCCTAAAAGCCTCCACGCTCAACAATCTGACCAGTTTCGGCCAGCTACTGGAGGAAACTGCCACCAGCAGCGATTTCAATCCCGCCGTGACGCACATAACCCAGCTGGGTCCCTCGATGATCGACTTTGAGATCAAATCGCTGCACCCGGAGGCCGGCGGCACCCTTCTGGCCATGGTGCAGTTCCTCAAGCTCATCGAGTTCATGTTCAGCACCAACCTCAACTTTGAACTGGCCCAATCCTACCTGAGCGTATTTCTTCGTTCGCACGGCCTCGCCCTGACGGAGTCACCCGACCTGATCCGCGCGCTGCGCACTGTTTCGCGTGTGCAGGAGCAGGCCTGGGATAGGGTCGAAAGTAAACTGATCTACGGAACAGGCGTGGTAGCCGCCCTGCGAAACTTTGCGAACTAGTAACTAAATAGTATCACCCCCATATAAATCTACTCACATTTGTAGTGTTTTCTTCCAATTTCGTTGTAAATAAAAACTGACCAGATTTGAATTGTTTGGACAATCGCTCATTTAAAAGATACGCATTGAAATCCTTTCAACCCAAAGTTTTACGCTCTATCCCCAATGCACCATGAAGGCCTACCACACATGTTCACAGTCACACCAACAGACTGTCCATCAACCCTATCGACAATAGCTCCTCCACTGGACATTTTAACTAGGCTTACCCCGACTTGTATCTTCCATTTCGCTGTGCGCAATTCATCCCCAATATAACTATACAATGCTATATACCGGCTTTAGGGGCGTGTGAATTACGCTTTTGGGTGACGGTGCACAGCGATAACTGATTAAGAGACACGACCCTTGGATGAAAGAGTACACCGGTTTGAGTTGAAATTGTGTGTATTAATTATTTATTTGTTATATCCGTTTAAACTAACGCTTTTATTTATGCTGGAATTAAATAACTTAAACTTGTTGCTAGACGTTGTTGTTGTTGTTGTTCCTTAGATACGGTTCTAGTGGCGGCGCTGCTTTGCTGTTAGCGGTTTCAGTTTCAATTTCAGTTTCAGTTTTGGGTTCATCGACGACAATCTCTATCGGATCGTATCGTACGTAACTCAACATAAACGTATGTGTATTCAGAGGATATATTCTCGTTAGTTATTGAACAACCACGCATTATAGACGTTATATAGTGCACACATCTGATAAGTTTCCATTGATTTAAACCTAAACTAAATATCGTTATCGTAGCTTTGCATATCTCGTAGCCAGATGAAAGAAATAACCTTAGTTTCTGTATTGGTTGGTTTGCTTTTTCATATATGTTGTGTGGTGTATTGTATTTTGTAGTGTAGTGTGTGGAGTAGTACAATGCAGCATGCAACTGGGTCTAGGTCTGTGTGGGTATTCTTCGGCCATCGCAAGCTGTAGTTACAGTGTGATTGGTGTTCGGGATCTAGGTTACAGTATAGGGTGGGGGGGGGTACAGAGCTGGCACGCCGTACGGATTGGTTGGTTGGGCTTGTGGCTTGTAGTGTGTCTGGGTTACTAAGTATGTAAGTATGTATAACCGCTTAGCTGGATGTGCACTGCTGGACGCGGGGGCCATCCTGATAGCCACCCTCGTCCTCGTCATAGGCCATGCGCTGGTGTTGCTGGCGTCGCTGCTTGGGATCAAAGTCCTCCTGTTGTGGGGGCAAAGATCAAAGAAACAAATGATATGAGCAAAATTCGGTAGGAGATTAAACCCATTTCTATTATCTACTTACCAAAACCGTCTGCTCTGCTTCGAATGGAATGTCGACCTCTGGGGCCGGTGGCAGGCATTGCTTGAGCGTCGGTACCACTGATGGGTTGATCACGTCGGGGAAGATCACCTCGAACTGAATGATTAGCATTCCCTTCTCCATTGGATTCTTGTATATGGGCATGCCCTCCTCCGAGATGCATTTGGTCATCTCGTGGCGAATGACTTCACCGGGCTGCGTGGACACGACCAGATCACGGCCGTCCAATGTCTTGACCAGGCGCTGGAAGCCGCACAACGCCTCTACCAGCTGCAGCGGCATCTTCATCATGAGATCCTGGCCGGCATGTGCAAAGATTGAATGCTCCTTCTCGTCTAACAGTATAATGATATCACCCGGTTGCGAATCGGGTTCGTGGTCGCCCTCCCCTGTGAATACTATCTTCTGACCATCCCGCATTCCCTTCTCGATGTGCACCTCCAGCACCTTGCGCTCCCGCACCGTCTTCCGGCCGTTGCAGTTTTTGCAGCGGTCCTTCTCCTGTATAACCTCGCCGGTGCCAGAGCACTTCCGGCACACCTGCTCGATGTGTTGCATGATGCCAGGTGCAATCTGTTGGACGCGCGCCTCCACGCCATTGCCCCGGCAGTTGGCGCACTTCTCAATGCTGCCCTTCTTGCCCCCACGGCCCTCGCACTTGTCACAAATCACGTTCTTCTGCAGCTGCAGCTTGCGCGTGGCACCGTTGTACAGCTCGTCCAGCTGCACCGACATCTGGTGCACCACATCCTTGCCGCGGCGCTCGCGACGTCGTCCGCCACCGCCGCCGCCACCGAATCCGGCTCCGAAGAACTTCTCAAAGAAGTCCATGGGGTTACGGAAGTCGCCGGAATCGGCGCCGCCCTTCTTGATGGCCGCCTCGCCGCCGTCATCGTACACCTGACGCTTGTCCACGTCCGACAGCACTTCGTAGGCTTGCGAGATGGCTTTGAATTTCTCCCCCTCATTGGGATTCTTGTCGGGATGGTACTTCAGAGCCAGCTTCCTGTAGGCCTTCTTGAGCTCGTCGGGAGTTGCGTTCGGCTTCACGCCCAGCAAATCGTAGTACCCGGTTTCCTTGACCATCTTGTATCAATAGATCGAGAACCTGTATAGCTGAAAACAGAGCAAAATGGGTATATTACTACGGGGTTGGGTTCCCGGGCGGCGTTTTTTTATGTGTCTATTTCTCTGTAATGAGGTGTGCTTCCGCAAGTCCCGGTTCAAGGTCAATGCCGATCATTTGTACGCGAAAACTGCGACGCAGTCCACGTTTTCTAGAAGTTTTTCTATTTCAATACGCCCGTCGGCGACCGACCAGCAGCTGACGCCGCTCCCCTCCCTCACATATCAGCCCCTCTGCTCATCCAAAGCCGCCACGGGCACACACACACAGACAAGAGTTTCTAGAAATTTTCGTCAGCGCAGCCCTGGTCACACACACACGCGCACCCATTGGAAGAGTGCCTTTGTGCGTGTGTGTGTGTGTGCTAGGTACAAACATGTGCCGCGCAAGACGCTGCGTCAGAATTTGCACGAACACGAAAGAGGCACAAAGGAGGGCGAAAAGTTCAATCGATTTTACAAAAAAATGCGTGAAATGCGTTTTTCCCAGCCCGCTGGCTGCTGGAGCAAAATTTAATTACCGCTGATTACTTAACAAAGGCGGAAAGGCAAGGGAAGTCTACCAAATACACACACAATGACTGCAGACGAATGCAATTATTTCGGGGATCGCCACTCACCTTTGAAATCAACTGCTGCCGTGTTTTCGAGTGTCTAGCAAAACCAACTTTTGCTATGAATAATTCCTTTTAAAGTTACACTTTTACTACAATTTATAACAGGACTACTTTTTTCTACGCCACGCTTGGAAAGAAAATTGCTGAGGCACTATCGATAGTATCGATGTTTTGCTGCTATCCGCTACTATCGACGGTTCTGCGAATATCATGATATTATCGAGCTACAGTTGTTGCGCTTTTGATGTTTGGATTGGCTGCTGTATACGAAGACAAATTTTTAAACAAATCGACAGGTGGCATCCAATTTTTACAATGGACAAGTTCCTCAAAAGTTTCAATGGTTTTTTAATAATTATTTGATGCCGATACTATTACGATAGTATCGACTGTTTTTTTTTAAACCATCGATGGCTCAACTATCAAATGTATCTTACGGGAACCGTATGGAACGTCGCAACAATGAATCTACATTCCGTTCCCGTTAGGAACATGTGGCTCACACCACGAACAAGAGCGACTACCCCACCAAAAAGCGCTCTCTTCACAACGAAAAAAAAGGAAGAATATTTTGAAAAACCACCACGAATTGAGAGCGAAAAATGTCAGTATTTTTTTTGCGCTAAATGGAGTTTGGCGGACATTTTGAAAACTTAGTAAACAAGGATAGAAAAAAAACTATGAATTATTTTATAATCTTGAACAATCTTGGTATTATTTCGCATTTTTTCGTAATGAAATGACTTTCATTATTTCATTTCGATAGTTTCACTATTTCATTGATACCGATAACTACTCCAGCGTTGCCGTACTGCTGAAGTACTGTGCGGAAAAAGCGCTGCCATACCGCTGAAAAATTGTCTAAAAACGAACTTAGCCCAATGGGTTAACTTTTCTTGTTTGTAAATCATATTCCTCGATTTTGATATTCGATTTAACATTACTAGCTAGCTAGGACACTCAGCACTAAACATATAATTTAATCCGATAGATAGATCAATTTTATATAATATTGGCTAACTTTGAGGCTTAATTTTCATTGGATTGGATTGTAATAGGCCGTTTACCCGGGGGCTGCGTCATGCTCGCGCTTCAAAGTTGCGTCGTGTCTGTCCTACCTACAGTGGGGCCGGGGGGGGGGGGGGGGGGGGGGGAGGCGAGGGGGGGGGGGGGGGGGCGGGGGGGGGGGGGGGGGGGGGGGGGGGGGGCTGTTTCGGGCTTTATTCATTATTTGGAGTTTGTTTTTCAACAAAATTGCTTTAGGGGGCCGGCGGCGGCGCCGTAAGACTTCATATTTCATGGTGGTTCTGTCGCTTCGTGCGGCCGAAGCAGGGCAAGGCTAGCCTAGGACCGCGCGCCCGCGCAACTCAGCTTTGCCGAATTTTATGAACCGCCGTCAAGCCTCAACCCGCGCGAGTCGAGCTACAGCACACCATGAAGAAGCTACGACGGGAAGGCAGGGACGGGGGGCCCTCCAGTAACACAATTGGACCCAAATATGTTTAGCCACTGGGGGGGGGGGGGGCGGGGGGGGGGGGGGGGGGGGGGGGGGGGGGGCGGCGCTTGGGGCCGGACCCCACATCCGGGGGGGGGGGTCCCCCCGGGGGGGGGGGGGGGGGGGCGGGCCGGCGCGGGGGGGCCCGGGGTAGTTTTTTACAAAAGAAAAATAAAGTTAAGCGAATGTATATTTGGGTATATTTTTGAGGGTCAGTCGGTATATTTTGTCGATAATTCCGCGGTCACACTGGCCTGGTTACTTAATAAATAAATATTTTTATTTATTATTTGAAAATTGAAATAAAACTGGGATCCGGACACCATGCGGCACGTGCAGTTCCTGGCCCGCACAGTGCTAGTGCAAAATAACAATGTGGAAGAGGCCTGTCGCCTGCTCAACCGCGTGCTTGGAAAGGAGGAGATTCTGGACCAGTTTCGCCGCACGCGTTTTTATGAGAAGCCGTTCCAGGTATGTGGAGTGCCCTGTGCCTGCCCATATTCGTATCCAAGCGATACATTATGATTGATATATTTCAGGTGCGTCGCCGCGTCAACTTCGAGAAGTGCAAAGCCCTCTACAATGAAGACATGAACCGCAAAATACAGTTTGTGCTCCGCAAGAACCGTGTGGAACCATTCCCGGGCTGCAGTTAGTTTCTTTCCCTTCCGTAGTGTATTTAATGCAATAAATCTAAGGAACATTTGATGGTAAATGGAGAATTTTTACACTGATTTGGACATGTGGGAACTCAAACAACAGTGTTCCAGCAATGAATTTAGTCAACCACTAAATCGTATATTTCTTTTAAGCCGAGATCATCTATGCCCCTACCCATGGAACTGCCCCAACCTTCTTTAATTCGTTGTCCCTGTCGGTTAAACTTTGCTTAACATCTTTGTACAGAAAATACACTCGTCGAAGATGTATCTTTTTGTGTGTTAAAAACACCTGACCAGTTGTATATACCTCTTCTATTGGTTAGACGGATTGAATATATTCTTGAATGTTTTTATTTAAAAGCTTTTCACAGCTTTCGCAAAGAAGTCAAAACATACCTTGCCACTGACCCTAGGTGAGCAGGGTGGTCGAAAGTTGATTTAGGACATTCTGTGGGAGAGGATTTGTAACATTTTAATCTTTCAATACCGTCATATTAAGTTATTTATTGATTTCAATCTATTTTCGGTATGCAGATGCCGTGGATAGAAGGGACATGATTAATATAACTTGCACAGATATGCCGCAAAAAAAAACAGAAAGAGATAATTTAGGTCCCTAAAAGAGCGGCCCAAGGTTCCACCCTTTTTTCGTATGCCTTGTCGGCCTCACCGTACTAACGGTACTTCTAGGTTTATACATTTTCTCCCCTCGAACGCAACGGACGTGTTTTCTTTGTCTTAAATCTGAGAGGTAAAAATTCGATTGGCTTGAAAAAGTTTTGTCAGTTGCCAAATATTTGTAATTTTGGCCAACCAAAGAAATGTAGTATACTTTTCAGAGTTATTGTTGAATGGCAAACTTATTTGTTCGATAAAGTGCGTTGCGGCCAAAGCGAGCGGGGCCTTGTTTGTACATGTGTTGTTTGTGTGTGTGTGTACATGGTTTGTGTTTTGTGTATGTGTTTATGGTGCAATTGCAGCAGCGCTGCAAGCAATTGCCTCTGTCCCTGGCGGCCCTTTTATATCGCCCACAACGGGGGATTCCAAAACGTGCTTAAGTGTTCCGTTGCTCCAATGACATCGATAATTCGCTTATGCGGCCAATTTACTCGGCCAATTCACGCCAAAAGAAAAGCTTTCTGTGTGTGTTTCTTGTTTTGTGTGTGTAAGTCTGATGGGTCGGATGGCGCAGTGGGAGCAAAAGTTGGCATGTTTTGGGGCTTTGTTGTTGTCCGCCTCCTTGCCCCGCCTCTCTTTTCATACCCGGTACTCGTAGAGAAAAAGGTATATGCGTTCAAGGCGGAGGAGGCCCTTGACATAGTAACTTATTATGGATATTATTCATTAGTATCATACGACGCTTGAATTATGATATTCTCCTTTTCGCTAATTGCAGTTAGAGAACAGCTATTATTTGGATACTTTCTTTAGGCTGGCTGTCGCCTGTTGCCGATTAGGGAGTATCTTTTAGTCGGGTTGTCGATTACTGCCTTCTTACTTGCTTCTTTTTTTACTGCTTTACTTTGGCCATTTTCTTCTTCTTGTTGTTGTTGTTCTGTTTCATCGATTTCTTGTGTTATTTTTAGCGTGATTTGCATGCATGTATGCCTGTGTGTGTGCGTGTGTGTCCGAGGTATTGTGTGTGTTACCTATTGGGGCCGTTACATCTTCGTGCACGGGAGTGTTGGTGTGCGCCTAATCGAGTCTTTTGTGGTAATCGAATAAAGTACATCTAATGCGACTTTCAGATCAGGAATACGCAGCATGTTTGCAAGCAACTTGGTGGCCATCTTCCTGCTGGCATGCCTCGGCCTAGCGCAGGCCTACCCGGCCCTGCTGCCCTATATCTACAGTGAGAATCGAGATCCCGCACCGTCGTGGACCCAATGCTAATCAAGGTTACTCCCTCCCTCCATCGCACAGATCCCTCGCACCAGAACCACGCCATTAAGCGCAACGATGCGGTCTTCCCCCAAATAGAGGACGATGTCGGCGAGCTGGACCAGCTGCGGAAGGAGCAGATGGGTGTGAGCAAGCGGCAGCATGATGGCAGCACCGCTCGCACCAGCACCACTACCAAGGAGAGCGTTGAGGAGGGTGCCGCCGCCGCCCCCGAGCCCCATCAAAGTGCGAACATGAACATCCTGCCGGACCTGGAGCGTCAGCTGGAGGTGGCGACGCCGCTGATATCGACGACAACTACCACCAGTACCTCTGCCACAACCACAACGGCCATGTCGAAGGAGGAGAGTGAACGCTCGCAGCTGGAGGAGCCGAAGACGGCCATCAAGACGGTGGTCGAGCCGACGGTTCATGCCAAGGTAAGCCGCTCCACCCCAGCCCCGTAGCCCTCCTCCCAGTCGGTAGTCTGGCTTGCCTGCTCTCTCTATCTCTCTGTCTCACGCCTTGTAAACACCAAATGTGTCTTTTGAAAATCCAAGTGTATATCCACGAAACCACCCAAAAACCAACAGGCATTTTATGGTGCAGCTCGTCTAGCCTTCGGCCAGAACCCGGAGGTGTTGCCAACATCTTCAACCACGTCCACAAGCACCACAACCACCACCACGACAACCACAACGCCCGCACCACCTGAGGAACCACAACCCGAACCCGAAACCGAGTCCAAACCCGAGACCGAGTCTGAGCCCCAAGCAGCAGCCGAATCTGAATCTGAACCTGTACCTGATCACGAACCCGAATCCGAATCCGAATCTGGAGCGGATGCGGCCGATCCAGAAAGTACCGACGCAGCCGCAGCGGAAACAGAACTGACCGCCCTGACACCGCCCAAGGTGGCAGGAGCGGGACCCCACAGCCACGAGCACGATGTCAACAAGGAGACCATTGGGGACATCATCTTCGATGTGGTGGCCCGGACCACGCTTACGGAGCGGAGGTCTAGCGCGCCAAAGATAACGGCCAAGGTTTTTATGATAAATCGATCAAAAGATAACCGAGTATCCGATCATCGATCACAGACCATTGACTGATTGGCAATCAAATTGGCAGATTTCAGCGAAAATTTCTCCTCAATGCAATCATTTATCTGGTTTCACCTGCTTCGGCCACTTGTTAATCGAATCACCTTGCGAATCTGTTTTCCAGACGGTCCAGGGTCTACTGCACAGTCCCAATGGCCAGTACTCGTCCTTCGACATGGCTCAGTATATATTCTGGACGGGCGACGAGACGGCTGTGGTCAAGGCAGTGGAGGAACTAGTCAGTGGAAGAGTGGTTAGTTATCCGCCATCTTATCTCCTCCGTAATCTAATGATGCTCACATTTCCCTCTGCTTAACCAGATTACGCGAGAGAAAGCCCTCAAGTTCTTGCAGGATATTCGACTGGGCATTGAGTTCCTGCAGCGCTCCTATGCCAACCGCATCTTCCCCGAGGAGGTGCGCCAGAACCAGCTGAAGCGGCATAGCCCCGCCAGGCCCACGTCCCCATCCACAACGTCCACAACAACAACGACTACCAGTACCACGAGTACAACCACGGAGAAACCCTTCCCGAATGTGCACGCGTCGGAGGGGATTGCACCGCAGGCAGGAGCCGTGCCAGTAAAAACCTTTGATAGCTTCAACTTCTGGAACAAGCTCAAGGACATGGACAATGAGGCGCAACAAGGTGGGAATCATACTTAAATATATATTGGTCATATGTAGTCATTCCTTAATGTTGCACCAATTTCCTAGACCTAACGGACTATGACGAGGGTCGTGCCAAGATTGTGGAGTACCTGTACAACGAGTACTCCCTGGAGGAGATCCTCTACAAGCTGGCAAAGGTAACAACACTCACTAAGTTTGCCCTTTCAAATGACTGATTATCCTGCCGATGATTAGGTGATGTTTGCCCAGTCCCTGGCCCATGGCTCCGATGAGGCACAAATGGAGCTGCAGAAGCTGACCGAATTCCTCGAGCACGAGGGCAATCTGGGCGTCATACCCGTTGACTTGCAGAAAAAAGTGTTAAGTGAGTGTCAAATCGATCAGCCCAAAACCAAGAATTAACTCAATTCAATTGCGTTGCAGGAGTGCTGCTGAGCGCCTTGTCAGACACGTTGACCGAGCATCCGGAACTGCTGCCGGCAGCGCGCGTCAATCTGGCCAATCCGTTTTACAGGCTTCCAATGCATACTCCCAGCCAGTAGAGCAAAAGTTATCAGAATAATATAAATCTATCTATATACATATATATATATATATAAATCTATATAAATGTATACATGCATAATCCACATCAGCTATCAGCTATCGACATTTAGCAAACAGATTTGAAGATGCGCTCTCTCGGAATTGCCTAGAAATCTTTGATTAGACTTAGCCCTATGTTATGTATTGTGTGTACTCGAAATTGGCACTTCCAAGTTTATTTATGGACATGCTTTTATTCTACGTGTAATATAGCAAAAGATTATCGTGATATATATATTTTTTTTTGTTGGTCAGGCAAAGACAGAGAAAAACCCTTTACGTACACGGCAGAGAGAGACTTGCGCCACTTTGAGGTTTTTAAAATGAATCTTAAACAGAATGTAGAATATTTAACTGCATAGAAATTCGTACACTTGCTTATATTTGATATGAGTTAGTTAGGAAAAATGAGGTTGAGTGGGAGTATCTTTGGTTAGTAGTGGCGACGAAGTAACGAAGCAGGAATGGGCTCTGAGTCCGCATATATCAGTAGAGCAACAGCAGCAACAGCAGACACAAAAATAATAATACCTATTATACGTTTCCCCCTCAGTAATTGAGCATTTGTGCATTATTAATGGATTGGTTAACCGATTGAATGTTTGTGCGTTACATATACGATATGCAAATAAGAACTAGAACCTGTATCAAGAAATATCGATTATACACTAAAATACATATAATATATATATATATATATATAAAACAAATGCGTGTAATCTGCTCTACTGCTCCTTCTTGGGCTCCGCCGGCTTGTCCAGCAACTGGTTGATGCGCTCCTCTGTCAGCGGCTCGCTGCTGTTGAAGAGCTTCTCTATTTCGGCCCGCTCATCGTCCCCAATCTCCTTGGCATACTGCTTGGCCATTTCCTCCAGGCGCTGTTGGTTCTTCTTCAGGTGCCCCGGCAGCCAGAATACAGTCTGCACCATTCTGGAATAAACCCCCCGTGATACAAGGAGGCTTTCGTTCATCAGGGGACTCGCGCTTACTTGAGCAGTACGAATCCACAGAATGCCAGCAGCAGGCACAGTCCGGATGTCTTAAGCATCGTCCAGTAGTCCACCAACACTTGCTGATTCTTCATTTTGGGATTCCTTTTGGCTAGTTTCACACCACACGCGTCAAAAATGTACCTGCGACTGTCATATGTGGCATTCGGACCTGTCCACTGACCACACAGGAGACAATGTTGTGGTCAAGCGTCGTCATGGGCAGCCACGGCATACGTGTGCTAGACACCAGACAGACAGACACCACCCACCAATCATGTGTGGCTACCAGAAATCAATATCCAATTTGCTCTGATTTCAGTTGATGGCCGTGAAAAAGAGAACAGAAATGTTGCCAAGCCCCAAGTCCTACCTGCACCAACATGTGTCCAAGCCTGAGCATCATCATCAGATCGGCAGTAAGATCTGTGCTAACGAAGTACGCACAGAAATTCCTATGAAAGTGTCGTCTTTGGTAATCGCACTTTCTATTTTTAAGAGTTATCGCTGCAGTTTATATAAAAAAGAAGCCAGTCAAAATACTATTTATGGTTGGTGGGTCTAATCGACTGTAAGATACCCGCTAAAACAATTATTATTCCCGGGGGGGGGGGGGCGCCCGGCGCGACGGCGCGCGCGGCGCGCGCGCCGGGGGGGGGCCGGCCCGGCACGCGGCCGCCCCCCCGCCCCCGGCGGGGGGGGGGGCCACCCCGCGCGCGCCCCCCCCCCCCGACACCCCACCCCGCCCCGCCGCGGGGGGGCGGGGGGGGGCGACGGGGGGCCCCGCGCCCGTTTATACTCTTACGGGTATCTCTTACTCATATTAATACATTAAGCTCTGCTAAATTCTTCCACTTTTTCTGTATATATGTCGGACAAAAGGGGCAAGGTTTTGGAAATATTATGATAGCTTATTTAACGAGTGAATTTATGAAGTTTGATTGGTTCTAACAGGAATCTTCTTCATCGCTTTCGTTGCATTGCCTCTTCCAATATAATGACAAGGAGAATATTAATCCCTACACTAATCACTTTTCTAGCTTATATAGCTCCTTGTACACAACATAAATAATTTCCTTACTCTAGTCTTTGGCTTAATATCCAATCTTCCCTAAGTTCAATCCTTCATCGGATAGTATAACTGAGTATTTTCGGCTCTGTTTGATGGGGAACAAACAAATTTCTTATCCTTTCTAATACATCACGCCATCATGCCTGTTGAATCCATCTATAACAAATTGAATACGCCCTTGAACTTGTTTTGAGTGGGGGGTATCAAAATAATTTGAAAATGATAATGAAATCAGGTGTTGTGTGGGGGGGGTCCTGGTCTTCGATCGTAAATTAGAAACCAGTGATTTCGATCAGAACAAGAAACTGATTAGGGCCAAGTCCATCTATCTCTCGGCATACCATATTATATTTCACTGATTCGGGGGGGTCACTACGTACAACGTTTATGCACACGCTTCAGTCTGTATCAGCAGACAATAAATCTGATTGCGGGCCAACTGGCCGTACGTATGTATCTGAAGATAATGGTCCGCAGACCCCTATAAAAGGAGCAATCCGAGGGTGCTCGGACCACAGTTGAGCAATGAGACGAACCCTACAATTATCCATAGTGCTGATCGGCCTGGGGCTGGTCCTGGCTGGAAGCAGACCCATCTCCGATTGCGTAAGTCTACGGGGTGGGGATTGGGAGTGAGGTGCAGTTCTAATGGCAGACATTCTTATAGGGAGAGCGCATCGAGGACGATGGCTATCCGATGGAGCGGCACACGGTGACCACCAGCGACAGCTACATCCTGACCATGCACCGCATCCCCTACTCCCCAAAGACGGGCTACACCCCCAACAGGCCGGTGGCCTTTCTGATGCACGGCATGCTCAGTTCCTCCTCCGACTGGGTGCTGATGGGACCCGAGAAGGCGCTGGCCTACATCCTCTCGGACGCTGGCTACGATGTCTGGATGGGCAATGCGCGCGGCAACACTTACTCCAAGCAGCACAAGTACTGGCCCACCTACTGGCAGCTCTTCTGGGACTTCAGCTGGAACGAGATCGGCATCTACGACGTACCCGCCATGATCGACTACACGCTGCAGGTCACTGGACAGCAGCAGGTGCAGTATGTGGGCCACTCCCAGGGCACCACCGTGTACCTGGTCATGGTTTCCGAGAAGCCCGAGTACAACAACAAAATCAAGTCCGCCCATCTGCTGGGTCCGGCCGCCTACATGGGCAACATGAAGAGTCCCATGACCCGCGCCTTTGCCCCCATTCTCGGCCAGCCCAATGCCATGGTGGAGCTCGTCGGTTCCATGGAGTTCATGCCCAGCAACAAGTTCAAGCAGGATCTGGGTATCGAGATGTGCCAGGCCACCTCCCCCTACGCTGAAATGTGCGCCAACGAGATCTTCCTCATTGGTGGCTACGATTCCGATCAGCTGGACTATGTGAGTATATTTTCTGTTACTTTAAGGTGACAACAAAGCTCCGTCTGTCCCTGATCATATCAGACAGCTCAGTCGCTCTGTCCCAGTGTGGCTTAGTAGTTAAGAATGAGATGTAAAATTACAACTCTCTCCCTGACCTGAATACCGGGCATCTTGTCTGTATAATTCTAATGTGAAACTGATTTCAGAACCTATTGGAGCATATCAAGGCCACCTCGCCCGCTGGTGCTTCCGTCAACCAGAACCTGCACTTCTGCCAGGAGTACAACTCGGGCAAGTTCCGCAAGTTCGACTATTCCGTTGTGCGTAATCCCTACGAGTACGGATCGTACTTCCCCCCCGACTACAAGCTAAGCAACGCCAAGGCCCCCGTCATGCTGTACTATGGCGCCAACGACTGGATGTGTGACGTGGGCGATGTGCGACAACTGCGGGACGCGCTGCCCAATATGGCCCTGGACTACCTGGTGCCGTTCGCGAAGTGGGCGCATCTGGATTTCATCTGGGGAACGGAAGCCAAGAAGTACGTGTACGATGAGGTCTTGAAACAGATGCTGGCCCACGAATAAGTTTACTGATTCCACAATAAATTCAATGCGTGCAAAGTACACTCGTGTGTTCACTCGACTTGGATGAATGCCCGATAGGCCAGCTTGATGTGGTCCTCCTTTAGCAGCTGGCTCTCGACGCGGTAGTAGCCGGGGTCCATCAGCATCTTCAGCCAGTGCACGTCCAGGGGATAGTCCTTGAGATGGTAGTGCTCCGGCGGCAGTGGACAGGTGTCCGGCTCTGGTGCGTTTGAGTGCTCCTTCAGCTTCTCGTACAGGAAGTCTTTGTAGTAGATCTTCATGGCATCGCAGACGCCGATGCGAGGCAGGTCTACGACCTCCTTGAACTCCCCTTTGGGGTCTTGGGCGCGGTATATAAGAAACAGGATCTGCAAGGGATAATCAGGATGTGTTCATGATTGATTGACTCAAGTAAGTAAGGGACTAAGCAGCAGCAGACTCAAAGACAGATTGAATAGATGATTCCGTACCTGCCAGTCGTTGTCGATGGTAACGTGCTGCTTCAACTCGCCGCTGATCCTGACCAGGTTCTCCTCGTCCTTGGCTATGCTCACAACGCTCTCCAGATCGCCGCCATCTTCGTGCACCTTCTCCAGGCTATGCAGCTTCAGCGTATGATTTGCCTCAGCTTGGATTGGGTTGGCGGCCATCATGACTAGGCTCCGAACCAGCATCTGGTGGAGTATTACTGCAGTGGACGTCATTTTACTGTTGAAAGTACGCCCGCTGGCAGGGCCTTATAAGGATCTCGTTGGTTGGAAATTGCAGCTTGTACCGGAAGCGAGCTTGTTCGGAGATTGTTCGATAGATTTGTGAGATATTCAATTCCAATTCGTTTTTGGCTTAGTGTATTTAATTATTGCATGACAGACAGTCTTTACACAGAAAGCAACAACAGCCAGAAGCCCATTTACAAACAATTAAAATATATAATTACTAATAGCACGGCAATGATGAAGTATGATGGGCAGCATCCATCCGTCGCGACGTTGGATGGGCGCCTACAAAGCAACAATAAAAGCATCTTTTAACGGTTTAACATTTGGCTAAAAATAAATTATCTTCTGTTCTGTAGTGAAGTGAAGTGTCCTTTCGTGTTGTTAAGTAATTGCAGCTGGAATGTTAGCATTGCGATCGATTGGGCGTGGGAGTGGGAGTGGGCCAGCAATGGGAACACCTTGCGTACAGCTTATTGCCTAATAGGAAACCATTTTGGGAGTGCCCTGCCCCGGCTAACTGGACTTCACGTAGCCAAAGTTGAGGCGCAGCTGCTCCAGGAACACGAAAGTGATGACCGTGTGCGGGCCCAGGCGCACAAAGGCCGGAATGTAGCCCTTGAAGAATCCCATCGGACCCAGCTTGGCCGTGTGCCGCACAATGTCCCAGAGGCCGCTGTACTCGCCCGGCTTGGCGTTCATGGAGCGTGTCTTCAGCACGTCCAGCGGCTGGGTCAGGGTCGTGGCTATGGCGCCAGCCACCAGGGAGGCGGTGAAGTGCGTCATCAGGTTGTCCTGGAAGTAGGGCGTGGCCAGCAGGTACACCTTGGTCTGGTCGTAGAACGCAATCTGCCCGATGGTCATGAGAATGCCGCGACCCGTCGCGGTGGTGGCGCCGGAGAAGAGTCGTGCGAATCCCTCCTGTCGGTACACCTTGATCAGGCCATCGATGGCATTCTTGTAGCTATCGGGGGGCATTAATAATTGATTAGAATTGGACCAAACCACTAGAGATTTATGCGGCACTCACTTTCTTCGCTGCTCAGGCGGCAGCTTCACATCATTCTGCATCCGGACGTTGACCATGTCGGCGGGTGTGCCCACAATGCCGCCAGCCAGGCCCGACAGACCCGCCAGGGCAATCTTGCCGGCGAACGTGTCCGTCTTGATGTACTCTTTACCCACCTCGTAGACGCCGAAGCGCGTCGTGGAGTAGGTGAGCTGACGCAGCATGGAGGCGGAGAGTCCGCTATAGAAAGCGAGCACGCCCTGCTCCCGGATGATATTGGGGACCAGCTGCAGCACGGACAGCTTGCCCTGCTGCGTCTGCAGCGTGACCTTGATGAGGTCCAGTGGGTGGGTGCAGCAAGCAGCGCCAGCGCTGGCCAGGCCACCGAAGTACCATCTCGACTGCTTCTGCTTGGTGGTCATTTCGTCGGAGTGTGGACTTCAAAACTGTTAGCTGGAATGGAAATCGTGGAGCACCATTTAATGCCGATGCAATCAGTCTAAATAAGAGCCTGGTTTTACCTAGTAAAAACTTGTCTGAATTGCATTAGAAGGGGCTGGGCTATATCCTATCGCGGGACGGCATTTTAACTACATTTAGCGGCAGAGGTGTTATGTCATGATGGAGCACGAAGCACACGCAGGAACACTATACTGACGGGAAGTCAGGCTCCAGCGGGAACAGCTGACCCGTGACGCAAGCAGCGCGCCTGGAAGGCTTAGCTTTAAGCTCCAACATTGTGCGCGCGCGCAGTTTGAAATGGCGCCACAGAGGATGCCCGTTTTGCGCCTAACAGCACACTGTTTGCGCTCAACAGCACATTTCCCGCGCTCAACAGTACAATGTTGTTAAACAGCTGATGATTAGTGCCTCTCCGGTCATACTATACCCAACATGTTTTTTTGTCTGTTTTTTTAATCCCAAACTAATTAAACTTAAAAAGTGCATCTTCCCAGTCTTTGAACTGTTCCTGAGTTTCGCGTGCCCGCCTCTTTAACTGGTAAGTGCTTGCAACTAGTGTGTGCTGCCCGTGAACTTGCGCAACAAGTCGCCATTGCCGGTCGTCACTGCCCTTTCCCCACAAGTCTGCAAGGTTTCTGTTTTAAGTCTACGCTGCTGTTTTTGCAATTGCATCCTATTGCAATTGGCCCTAACATTGGGTGCCAGCTTGGTCATAAGAACAGCCACACAAGAATTCCTATGCACAGACAGACAGAGAGAGATAGATGGAGATAGTGAAAGAGTTTTCCGAATTGTTAATGCTGTTTGTGTTACTCTCCTACTCATACAAGAATATTATGTATAAACTATGTACGTTAAATGTTTTTCGACCTATGTACATATGTACCTATATATACTCGTATCGGTTAGATCGGACAACAGTGATAATAATGTTATCATTATTTTATATTTGTGTACAAAGTGAATACATTTATCAGTAAATGTATTTCGATTCTGTTATTTTCAGTTTTTATATGAGTTCATATAAAATACCTGCTGAGCCAACCCCTATCACGTTTCTATCTCATGTTCTCATTAAGCTAAGCTTAGATTCCCGTCCCACATGTGAAATATCTACATCAAATAGGAGTCAAAATTTTGGGAAGAACTCTACCATTTTAATACCCAAGCAGAGTAAAATTTATATCAGAAACTACAACTTTTCTCTTAATTCGAATGCTTTTTGGCAGAAAATGTTTTTTCAATATAAACTATACAGTTATACGATTGATTTAGTGGGGCCTGGATGCCAAAGCATATTCTGGATATTATTTCATGCTTTGGCTTCCGAAGCTAGCTTTCCATTCTTTTAAATGTTCCATATTTTCGAACCACACTGTCGGTTATATCAAAGTAAAGTTGGAGTAATCTAAGAAAAATTGGCCAATAAATCGATGTGACTACAGTTTCGTATCCATCCATAATGTTGAATTTTCGCTGTTGGCGGACAGCTCTTGGCACTTGCTTGGTTGCCATAAATAAACACGGGACTCGGAGGCGGGTCCACGGGTACCAATCTTTATAGGCCTTCCTGCACTTATCACTTATCAACATTCGACTTTTTGTTGGGTAGCCCTGTTTAGGGATTGATACGATGTTTACCATTGATCGAAATCCCAGCCGGCAACATTATTGTATGCATTATGTATGCCTGCAGGGGAGGGGAAAATCCTCCACGTGCGACGGCTGCTCCATAAATTTGATGCAGACAACAGACAATTTTTCTGCAAACTGTTTTGTTATTTCTGTGCGTTTCGCTTTATTCTCTTCCCTGGCTGACTGAATTTTATCTGAATATAAAACTGAATGCTGGTCAAAGTCGAATCAATAACGAATCGCGGGTATCACATGATCCAATCCGCTGCCATATAAAATGTTGTTTTGCCGAACCGAGCCCCCAAAAATATACAGTTGATACAGTTTCTTCCACTTGGAAACAGCTGATTTTGGGGTCTCGCACGCGTCGCCTAGCCTAGATTAGATCATTAAATCTGGCACGCAGCATCGCGTGATAATTCAATGATTCCTAGGCAGATTATCTATTTGTCTGTTGGTTTTAGAGCCTTCTGTTTGCCCTGCACTCGCGGCACCGCTAAATTGAATAATAAACAGGCGAAAATTGCATTTTAAAACGACTGCAATTGAATAGTGTCTCTACCCCGATAGAAGAGAGAGGAGCGCCAGTCACAGCTGATCTGAAATTTACCTTGAACGAGAAATGCTGCCGTGTGTCTTTTGCTGCTTGCTTTTGTTGCTGCTGCCGCTTTCCCTTAGGACTTTTTGTTACGTTTATATTTTGGCAACACCACACCAATACACGAGTACACGCCGAAGTGATCGCAGCGCGAGAGCGAACCGGGAGGGAGCGAACGAGCGACGACCTCAGTACGTCATTGCTGTCCACGAAAACTGGTCTGGGGTTCTGGGGTTGGTCGGGGCTGCTGCTGGAGGCTAGGCGCGGACGTAGACGTAACGTAACGGTCGAGCACAGAAATCGTACTGATCACCGCCAGCCGGCTGCCAGCAGACCCTACACATGCGCTCTCGCGGCGACTCTGGACTTGTTTTATCGCCCGCCGAGAGGTGGCAGCGCGGTCAAGGCGGGCACTGGGAAGTGTCTTGGGATCGGGGTTCGGGATCGGGATCGTGATCAGCTTAGTTAGTTAGTTGTCAGAAGCAGAAGTGGAAACGCCGACACAGAGAGCGGCACGGAGAAATAGAGAGTAAGAGAGATATACTTGGGCAGAGAGAACGGAAGAACAGAGAAGAAACCAAAACTGGTGAGAGCTTTTTATTACGGCTTGCTTACTCTCCAAGCTTCGTGTGTGCGTGCGTTATGATTGTACAATAAGAGAACATAAACATATAGACATTCTGTGTAATTACTCAAAAATGGAATTGAATCGAATTGGTTGCACACAGCAGTGTAAACTTTTTGCTGGCCACCCATCCATTCCAGTGCCAACAGACCGTTCCATTATCTCGAGTTCAATTCAATTCATTATCAAATCCACCCACATCTTCACTTCGTCATACAGAAGCTATGGGGAAATATATGTACATATCAACTTTTCCACGCCCAGTGCGAGTACATCTGCTTTACGTCATCATAGGAAATCCGGGCATGTGCCTGTGCCTTCCCAAAATACGCTCAAGGTAAAGGGCATTAATCATGTGACAGACATTAGCTCAATTGCTCGAAAAATGTTAATAATTAGGAGTTAAATTAGTTTACAGCAGCCGTCAAAAAAAATATTCAATATATGTACATATATCTGAGTGTATTTAAATTAGTCTTCCTAGGCGGTAAAATTCATTAAAATTCGAAGAAAACTTAATTTACGAATCTTTTAAGAAGAAAGATTGATAATATTAGTGAATAAATGTGAATTTTTCAGGGTTTTTAGTTATATTCCGAAATTTTCTCTAAAGCGGCCATGTCCTTTCGTTACAAAATTCACAAAACTAAGAAAAGATCATGCATTCAATTTACTAGCAGTTCTGTTATTTTGACCGCAGTTGTATGCACTAATGCAGCAAAGCTCATGGTTTGTTTTAAATGCATTTCGGAGTCAAGGTTTAATTAGAATGTTCTTGTTTGCCTGCGATGGCACTGTAAACCGCCAGTTCTTCCAAACAAAAAAAGATATATAAAGTTGTGTTCAATGAAATAGTAAGGCCGCACCTCACTACTTTCATGACTTTAGACAACTACCCATGATATCTGCTGTTCAATGAAATAGTAGTGCTGGGTTTAATTAATTTTTAAAAATAAAAAAACAAAGGAAATTAATTTAAATAAGTCACCACCCGTAAGCTCAATTTAGATATCGAATAATTTGGTGAAAGAAAGTTTTGGACATAGCGGTACTTTTGATTTTGGAGCGTTAAAGAAATCATTGCTCGGTCCAGAAGAGGAGACCTAAGAGTTAGACTAAAAACTTATGGCAGGGGTTATAATGGGATTGAAAACTAAGTTTTATGCACTCTCACTATTGTATTTAATCCAATCAACTATAAGAAGTAGACTGAAAATCGATTTTGTATGCGAAAAACTTATTTTTGAGAGGATGGTCGGCGATGGTCAAAGGCAAGATCCGGCCTTCAAAATCCTCAAAAATTATGAAAACGAGAAGGAACGTGTGAGTCGCTTCTGGGGACGCGACTCTACTTATACCCGTACTCAGTCAGTATATACAGTTTTGAGCTTTTTTATACAGATGAACAGACAGACATGGCTATATCGACTCGGCTATTGATGCTGATAAAGAATATATATACTTTATGTGGTCGGAAACGTTTCCTTCTCTGCGTTGCACACATCCACTTTTACCACAAATCTAATATACCCCTTAACTCTTTTTTGAGTACTGGTATAAATAGCATTGGGCATGTTAGACTGAGCCTTTTGGGGACCAGCTCATATGAGCTAGTACCTGGCGTTTGAGTATAGTATGGTATTGAGAAAAACTGTGTATGCATACTTAAGAATACATTGCATTCATATTACAGTTGAAAAATTCCAGCTAAAAGGATATTTTAACCGGATAATGACTTGAAACACCCAGAAAAGCTCGCTAGGAATATCAAACTGGATATTAATCTCATCGAAATCGTATGGGGGGAATACCAAATACATTGTTGCAACTGCAAATCCGTCAACCAGAGCAAAGTTTGAGCAAGTGGTTCAAAGATTATTGGCTCAAATTCTATTGAAGCGTTGGCAAGAGATTAATGACCCATGTTCGGCCGGTGCAAGTTCGCAATGAAAACCAAATTGATTAAAAACTAAATATTAAAGCTCAAGAAACATGAAGAACATGAAATATATGCTTTTATTTGAGTTTCGTTGTTTTTTTCAATATTCTAAAAAACACTACTATTTCATTGAACAGCAAATTTCATGGGTATTCGGCTTATGTCTTGTAAAACAAGAAAACGGAATTCAAATGTATGGAAAGGTATCATTTGTTCAATTTGGATAACTGGAAGTGTCTCAAAAAGAGTTTTGAAAGTGATGAGGTGCGGCACTACTGTTTCATTGAACACAACTGTACATAGATACATCGGAGCGATAAGAGCTTGGTTCCAAGCGAATGAATTGGCAAATATTTTCATCAGCTATTATTATGGGCATGCTTAAAGCAAAATTGAATTTACCTCGCACGTTTTCAGTACATGTCGCCCCATTAACACTTTTAGTAGGTGCCGTCTATTTGAGCACATTTTGACCAAGTGCTAAGTTCTGTTTAAATAGAACTTTGGGCATGGTACTATTTAGTTGCTGCTGCGTACGACCAAGTGTTTACAAGTTTGCTGCAAGAATACTTGTCTGAATTGCATTAGAAGAGGCTGGGCTATATCCTATCGCGGGACGGCATTTTAACTACATTTAGCGGCAGAGGTGTTATGTCATGATGGAGCACGAAGCACACGCAGGAACACTATACTGACGGGAAGTCAGGCTCCAGCGGGAACAGCTGACCCGTGACGCAAGCAGCGCGCCTGGAAGGCTTAGCTTTAAGCTCCAACATTGTGCGCGCGCGCAGTTTGAAATGGCGCCACAGAGGATGCCCGTTTTGCGCCTAACAGCACACTGTTTGCGCTCAACAGCACACTTCCCGCGCTCAACAGTACAATGTTGTCAAACAGCTGATGATTAGTGCCTCTCCGGTCATACTATACCCAACATGTTTTTTTGTCTGTTTTTTTAATCCCAAACTAATTAAACTTAAAAAGTGCATCTTCCCAGTCTTTGAACTGTTCCTGAGTTTCGCGTGCCCGCCTATTCAACTGGTAAGTGCTTGCAACGAGTGTGTGCTGCCCGTGAACTTGCGCAACAAGTCGCCATTGCCGGTCGTCACTGCCCTTTCCCCACAAGTCTGCAAGGTTTCTGTTTTAAGTCTACGCTGCTGTTTTTGCAATTGCATCCAATTGCAATTGGCCCTAACATTGGGTGCCAGCTTGGTCATAAGAACAGCCACACAAGAATTCATATGCACAGACAGACAGAGAGAGATAGATGGAGATAGTGAAAGAGTTTTCCGAATTGTTAATGCTGTTTGTGTTACTCTTGTACTCATACAAGAATATTATGTATAGACTATATAAGTTAAATGTTTTTCGACCTATGTACCTATGTACCTATATACACTCGTATCGGTTAGATCGGACAACAGTGATAATAATGTTATCATTCTTTTCTATTTGTGTACAAATTTTTGTGTACATTTATCAGTAAATATATTTCGATTTTGTTATTTTCAGTTGTTATATGAGTTTATATAAAATACCTATTTTAGGTGCATTTTGCCCTACAAGGAAAGTCTCTAGAGTCTACCTATCTATCTATCTATCTATCTATCTATTCTATCTCATGTTCTCAATAAGCTAAGCTTAGATTCCCGTCCCACATGTGAAATATCTAAATCAAATGGGAGAGTCAAAATGTTGGGAAGAACTCTACCTTTATATCAGAAACTACAACTTTTCTCTGAATTCGAATGCTTTTTGGCAGAAGATAATTCGATCGCTAGTCATTTTGGGCGGAAATGTTTTTTCAATATTAACTATACAGTTATACGATTGATTTAGTGACCCAGAGAGGGGCCTGTCCAAAGCATATTCTGGATATTATTTCATGCTTTGGCTTCCGAAGCTAGCTTTCCATTCTTTTAAATGTTCCGTATTTTCGAACCACACTGTCGGTTATATCAAAGTAAAGTTGGAGTAATCTAAGAAAAATTGGCCAATAAATCGATGTGACTACAGTTTCGTATCCATCCATAATGTTGGATTTTCGCTTTTGGCGGACCGCTCTTGGCACTTGCTTGGTTGCCATAAATAAACACGGGACTCGGAGGCGGGTCCGCGAGTACCAATCTTTATAGGCCTTCCTGCACTTATCAACATTAGATTTTTTTGTTGGGTAGCCCTGTTTATGGATTGATACGATGTTTACCATTGATCGAAATCCCAGCCGGCAACATTATTGCGAGCATGTGTTTGTTTTCCCGGCCCTCTATTTATTTATTCAATTACTATGAATGTATGCCTGCAGGGGAGGGTAAAATCCTCCACGTGCGACGGCTGCTCCATAAATTTGATGCAGACAACAGACAATTTTTCTGCAAACTGTTTTGTTATTTCTGTGCGTTTCGCTTTATTCTCTTCCCTGGCTGACTGAATTTTATCTGAATATAAAACTGAATGCTGGTCAAAGTCGAATCAATAACGAATCGCGGGTATCACATGATCCAATCCGCTGCCATATAAAATGTTGTTTTGCCGAACCGAGCCCCCAAAAATATACAGTTGATACAGTTTCTTCCACTTGGAAACAGCTGATTTTGGGGTCTCGCACGCGTCGCCTAGCCTAGATTAGATCATTAAATCTGGCACGCAGCATCGCGTGATAATTCAATGATTCCTAGGCAGATTATCTATTTGTCTGTTGCTTTTAGAGCCCTCTTTTTGCAATCGCGGCACCGCTAATTTGAATAATAAACAGGCGAAAATTGCATTTTAAAACGACTGCAATTGAATAGTGTCTCTACCCCGATAGAAGAGAGAGGAGCGCCGGTCACAGCTGATCTGAAATTTACCTTGAACGAGAAATGCTGCCGTGTGTCTTTTGCTGCTTGCTTTTGTTGCTGCTGCCGCTTTCCCTTAAGACTTTTTGTTAAGTTTATATTTTGGCAACACCACACCAATACACGAGTACACGCCGAAGTGATCGCAGCGCGAGAGCGAACCGGGAGGGAGCGAACGAGCGACGACCTCAGTACGTCATTGCTGTCCACGAAAACTGGTCTGGGGTTCTGGGGTTGGTCGGGGCTGCTGCTGGAGGCTAGGCGCGGACGTAGACGTAACGTAACGGTCGAGCACAGAAATCGTACTGATCACCGCCAGCCGGCTGCCAGCAGACCCTACACATGCGCTCTCGCGGCGACTCTGGATTTGTTTTATCGCCCGCCGAGAGGTGGCAGCGCGGTCAAGGCGGGCACTGGGAAGTGTCTTGGGATCGGGGTTCGGGATCGGGATCGTGATCAGCTTAGTTAGTTAGTTGTCAGAAGCAGAAGTGGAAACGCCGACACAGAGAGCGGCACGGAGAAATAGAGAGTAAGAGAGATATACTTGGGCAGAGAGAACGGAAGAACAGAGAAGAAACCAAAACTGGTGAGAGCTTTTTATTACGGCTTGCTTACTCTCCAAGCTTCGTGTGTGCGTGCGTTATGATTGTACAATAAGAGAACATAAACATATAGACATTCTGTGTAATTACTCAAAAATGGAATTGAATCGAATTGGTTGCACACAGAAGTGCAAACTTTTTGCTGGCCACCCATCCATTCCAGTGCCAACAGACCGTTCCATTAACTCGAGTTCAATTCAATTCATTATCAAATCCACCCACATCTTCACTTCGTCATACAGAAGCTATGGGGAAATATATGTACATATCAACTTTTCCACGCCCAGTGCGAGTACATCTGCTTTACGTCATCATAGGAAATCCGGGCATGTGCCTGTGCCTTCCCAAAATACGCTCAAGGTAAAGGGCATTAATCATGTGACAGAAATTAGCTCAATTGCTCGAAAAATGTTAATAATTAGGAGTTAAATTAGTTTACAGCAGCCGTCAAAAAAAATATTCAATATACATATATCTGAGTGTATTTAAATTAGTCTTCCTAGGCGGTAAAATTCATTAAAGTTCGAAGAAAACTTAATTTAAGAATCTTTAAAGAAGAAGATTGGTAATATTAGTGAATAAATGTGAATTTTTCAGGGTTTATAGTTATATTCCGAAATTTTCTCTAAAGCGGCCATATCCTTTCGTTACAAAATTCACAAAACTAAGAAAAGATCATGCATTCAATTTACTAGCAGCTCTGCTATTTTGACCGCAGTTGTATGCACTAATGCAGCAAAGCTCATGGTTGGTTTTAAATGCATTTCGGAGTCAAGGTTTAATTAGAATGTTCTTGTTTGCCTGCGATGGCACTGTAAACAGCCAAACAAAAAAAGATATATACATAGATACTACGGAGCGATAAGAGCTTGGTTCCGAGTGAATGAATTGGCAAATATTTTCATCAGCTATTATTATGGGCATACTTAAAGCAAATTTGAATATTTCCTCGCACGTTTTCAGTACATGTCGCCCCATTAACACTTTTAGTAGGTGCCGTCTATTTGAGTAACTTTTGACCAAGTGCTAAGTTCTGTTTAAATAGAACTTTGGTCATGGTACTATTTAGTTGCTGCTACGTACGACCAAGAATAAAATAATCTAGAAAAAAGTTTAGCAGGAAAGCTTTCTTCCAGGAGCTTTGGGTCTCAAGTTTGAGTTTGTCGCTGTTTCATCCAACGGCCCATTAGCTCAGTTGGTTAGAGCGTCGTGCTAATAACGCGAAGGTCGCGGGTTCGATCCCCTCATGGGCCAAAATTAACTTTTTTGTTCTTGTTGTAATATATTTTCGTTTTTTCTTCATTTTTTTGCTTTTATAAATGATAAATAAATAATTTATTGTTGCAGCTTGACATATTTTCCCCCACACTACCTGCTAGTAGTTGCCCGATTTATGTCCACGAGTGCCCCTGACAGCCGTGATAAAGTGACAAAATGTAGATTCCTCTATTTTCCTCCTGCTCTTTTTATACGGCTCAATAAATTACTGAGGTGTTGTTGCCTCCGGTCAGGTCAAGTGTTTTAACCTCCTTGGCCAGACGGACACGTGACCCGCCACTTAATTAATTGAACTCTTTTGATGGCATTTATAAATCGACTCTCCATTGCAGATCTTTCAACGTGATGGCCACCTCAGTGCTGTTAGCGTGCGGACTGAACGAGCAGAAGCTGCCGGCATTCGTGCACATTAGCGAGGAGTCAAATGTGGACGGCAGCTTCCTGATCAGCTGCATCCTGGGCCAGCGGCTGCGCATCTCTAACGCGGGCACCCTGCTCGTCTGTCTGCAGCATCACTACCAGCACTACTTCAACGCGGGCATGCGTCTTGGCTACAACACGAACATCTTCCAGGGCAAGACCCTCAACGTGATCGACGTGCTGAGCGACATGGCCAGCGAGGGCCTTGCCTGCAAATGGCTGAGGACCCCGGACGGTCTGACGCTGACCGAGCAGCTGGTGGAGGACATTCGCGCCCAGGTGGAGAGCAACTATGCCAACCGCAACAGCTACACCATACTCATCGACAATCTGTCCATCCTGTTCAATCTCGGTGCCAGCAAACTGCAGGTACAGCAGTTTTGCCAGGACCTGGCTTCCCTTACCAAGGAGCGCGACAATCTGACGGTCATCACCAAGCTGAGCAACAGCGACATCTACCAGCCGACCGACAACAACGTGGCAAAGCTTGGCCAGTTGCGCATTCAGGTGGTGAGGCTCAAGAGCGGAGTGTTCCGCGAGGTCGACGGCAAGCTGCTAATTGAACGGGTCCTGGACGAGGGCAGCTATGCGTGCGAGGAGGCACGCAAGGAGGTGCTCTACAAGGTCAACGATCGCAATGTCAAAGTGTTTACACCCGGCGAGGTTGGCGTGAAAGTCTAGCTGCGGTCCGAGGTCCGAGCTCCGAGCTCCGCGCTCCCATTTGATATGATTATTTGTATGAATTTTAATAAAGCCATTTTTTTGTATATTCTGAGATACGCAGACAAAATTTCAATCAGCCATCGCAATACGCCCTCTCGTCAATGTTGCTGACTGTCTGTTGTTTTCCTTCGTTCGTTGTAATTGCTTTTGTCCTTCTGCTATCTGGTGGCATCTGTTGACGTCACCAGCCACATTGATGAGGGAATAATGATGAATTTATGTCTGGTCACGATCAATAAAGGACGAGTATAAATGACTTTACAGCAGCCGGCCATCGGAGGCCATCGGAAGACCCAACGCCAAACGGCCCAAAGTAAAGTTCAGCGCCAGAAAGTTTCGCCGAAGCTGGACAACCCCTAGGCCCCCCAATATGGTAAAGGACGTCGCCGAAAATAAAAACAATAAAAAAAAAGAATAAGGCAATTGAATTTTACCAAACCACGCAGAAAAACAAAGTTGATTAACTGCGCTTCAAATGTGCTCGAATGGCACAGACGTTTGGGGGTCCACCGCTCTGGACAAGATTTATTTATATCTGCGATTTCTTTGTACTGGATTGAGTTTCCCCATCGCATTGTAGCCTCCCAAATATCCCTTCAGTCTGTTAATTGTGGAAAGTTATTCCATCTTCACAGTGTTTTTCGATTCCCTTAAGCCAGAAAGTCTTCGCAAGAAATTTGATATTTTATTCTCTAACAGTAAAGTTAATCTTTTTAACTTGATTAATGTGCATTTCATTCATTTGAATGCTAAACTACGCGAATATTCTTTTGGGTTTGGTATCATATAACACGGTTTGCTATCCAAAATAGAACTCTTTTATTATAATATTTAACCAAGAAAACCACCAACAAAGAAGGTTTTTTAAACACCCAAAATCGTGTTCGAGGTTCTTGTGGCACTTGTGTGTGGCCTTCATTGTCTTTCGTAGAGCTACAATTTTGTTTTCATTAACTTCGCATCGAAGTCCCCCCCAATGGCTGCCAGACCCTGCCATGCGTGAATTGGGAATTGCATTTCTGCGTGGCATGCACGAAGATATTGCCTTTAAACAAAACCAACAGATGAATTCATTAATTACGCAAATGCTTTTTGTGCACCAGAGCGCTAAGCGTTTCTTATTGGAAGTTATCCGCGAGGACGAGCAGCCCAACCAATAGTGCCACCCAATCGCAAAATATGCTGTCGAATTGGAGATGGTTGCTAAAGTGTGCGGGCAAATGTCTGCCTTTGTGGAAGCGGAAGCACAGAAATACGAGTGTATGCGTTCAGGTTGGGGGGAGCAAATCCAATTGCCGGTTCGTCCTTAGTCGCATCATAAGCAACATGCGGAAAGGGAGTGTAATGACTGGGCAAAAAAAAAAAAAACCATGAAGTACGAAAGGATGTTACTTTGAGGGGGGCTTAGGGCACGCCTCTCTATGAGCCATACTAAAAACGCTGCCATATACAATTTTTCCCGTTGCATACCCGTACTTTCAGGCACCGCCGGAAATGAACGGGCCACAGCCGAGTGCTTGCAGCTGCCCAAAAACGAGACACATACTCACTCGTACTCGTATACAGGCATTTAGGAATATGTAGATGTGAGCTTACCATGTTGGACCACGCACTGATGACAATAGCGACAGGGCGCAGAGTGTAAAAGAGACCAAAAATTGTGCGCATCCCATAATTTATTCACATAGGGAACGTAATAAACATAAACTTGGCTAGCCGGGGCCGTCCTTTCATCAATGATAATAACGTCGTATTAGTGCGGTCCGGCCTGGAAATTGGGCAGCCAAAGATTCGAGATTCGAGTACAATGACCAGGCAAACGAACACAGACACCTACGTCAGCCTAGTCATCATCCGATACTCTCTCCCAACCCCCAGCTCGGGGGCTTTGGCGTTCACCCTTCTCAACTGAAAAAAGGGCATCAATTTTTTAAGGTCCTGGGCTCAGCTTTGGCTTGCCAGCTGATATGGCGCCATATCTTTCGATTTTCATCGCCACTTTGTCGTTGCCGCTGAGTTATCGACAGCTCTTCTCGGGCCATCATATTTTTTTTTTGTGTCCTCCCCACATGGCGTGTGTGTAATATTTATTTAACTACCGCACACACTTCAGATACTTTGGGCTTTAAAGCTCAACATCCTTTGGCATCATGAACTCGACTCGTCTGGCAGAAAAACCCCTAAGACAAGTTGTTCTGCGAGTTGTTTCCGAGACAAGATAAGCAGCATAAATCTATATATAAATGGGTAAGGGCAAATCAGTTTGCTAACACTTAAACTTTTTCACTTTTGCACGAGTATTACTTGAGTGGTTGTTATTTTTTTACGTATGTTAGTTGTGTATGATCCATTAAAAAAGTAGAAACAAACATTTCTTATAAAACATGAATTTAAATAGAGCTGAAGTATGAGTATGTATGTACATATGTTTGTGGATGTGCCTGGCATTTAAGTTAGGAAGTGGCCTTGGCATAAAAGAGATTAAAATATTTTATATTTATAAGCTTTAATAGAGATTAATAGCGAAAAATGTAAATTTTCAGTACGAGTATTTGGAGACAAAATTTAACGTGAAAGCTTTTTTTCCTTCATTATTTGCAATCCAAAAATATTTCTTATAATTCGCAACTCTCGCAATGTGAAATTTTTCGGTTTTGCAGTTTAGTTTAATTTAATTTGGCTCGACGGAGCGAGAAGGGAAAACACAAGGAAAATGCATGCAATTTCCTCTAATTCAATATGAACATTTTCGTCGTGTGCCAGCAAAAAGAATAAGGAAAAATTGTCAACTGTTTAGAGGGTCCTTTGTGCTCGTTTTCCCCCCATCCGCTGCACAAAACTTTTCCCTGGCTAGCCGTTTTCGACATGGCCTCGTACCCTCCTCCCCTTCCGTTCTGTTCCGTTTTTGTTCCGTTTCCGGGAAAGCAATTAAAGATACATTTTAGCAAAATGGTCGCTAACGAATTTAATAATTTTCACTCAAATGCCGCAGCATCCCGGGCCAATGCCAGTGCACTGGTGCGCAAAATATTCGCGGGGACTGTGCGGAATGTGGATTCGGTTTCGGATTCGCCGCGTTTTAAGCGGATTTATTTTAAATCTGTCGTTGCGCGGTGAAATGCTGCCGCAATTTCTGGTTGATAATCGGCTGCTTTCATTAGGCCAACAAATTTATAGATGCAATAAACGCATTGCCGCGATGCGCGATGTGACTGCCACCGGTATAGAGCCGCAAAAGTGCCTGATAAACCGGAAAGCATTCAAATTGATTACACGGCGTATACACAACATTTGGCACCCTGCACAGCCTCCTCTAGCTAATGCTCCTGGTGCCACTCCTTGCCACTCCCGCTCTCCAGCAACACGCGTCGCACAACCTTGGGCCCTGCCATCGAGTGTGTGGCAAATATTGTTGGTTGACACTCTTTTTGGATATTCGAGCCGCGACTCAAATGTGGGCTGTGCCACGATTATGCGGTTGGTTGGCTTTGGGGGCGGGGCGGGATCTGGGCCTGTGGGCGGGCTTAAAGCCCAGCTAAGTGCTCCACTGCCTCGCACCTACGCCACGCATCACAAACCAAATTGAAAACTGAACCTAATGGCGTGACAATCTTTCAGGGCTCCCACTCAACTCCGACTCTGACTCCGACAAGCGGACGTGGCACAGGCTGTACCATGGACATGAGCATGGACGTGGGGCCAACAATTACCAATTTCGATATGCACAGTCAGACATGGACGTTTCCGTGCCATAAAAGTGTCCGAGGATAACATAGAAAGATACGATATTGATGGCTCGTTACCAGCAAATTGTATAAAAATCTCCAATTCCCTGGCTGTTCTCTCTCTATCGCTCCGGCGTTGTTTGTCAGACCGGTCGTTTGCTTTATTTGCAGAAACACTTTTTATGGCTTGCCCGGCTGTCATAAAGATGCCTTTGGCGTGGCCTTGGCTGTGACCAGGGCTCGCCTGACCATCATTGTCCTGGGACCCGGCCAACTGGGCATATGTGTGTACATATCTGAAGCAGCAACACGTGGCAAGTGATACTGGTGCAACGGATAACTATCGAGAGAGTGCGCTATTCAGCTGTAACAAAGGGCATTTTGAGTGGAACTTTGGTATTTGAATTTCCATTTAAGCACAGATTGGCTGACGTCTTTAAACAGAGTTCGATGCACAGAGGCATGCCAACGAGATATGATATGATAGATAAATTTATAGTTTTTACTTGCACATTGCATGTGGAAACAATTAATTAATATGTCTAGCCTTCTTTCATTAAGTAGGTTGACCCTGATGCAAGCTTAAATAGAGCTCGAAGAGAGTGCCCAGTATCAAAAGTTGGCCAAAATACTTACCGTCACGTAGTCGCTCAATCTGATCTTTATTTGACAAATGCTGCGCTTATCGGGCAGCCCGTGTCCGCTGTCGCTTCCTGACTGGCATACTAAAATCCAGCTACGAGACGACGTCCTAATAAAACAGCCACTTATACAATGTTTATGGCCAAGGACTCGAGCAGCGAGTTCTGCATTTGATAAGCATTGGTCGGGCAGAATGCTGCCTGAATTATATACAGCCAAATGCCTTGTACCTTTAATTGTGTTCTGTTTCTGTGGTGGTGCCTTCTGGCTTGTGCTTTGTGCTGACGCCTCGACACCTACTTTATGGCCGTTATTATGCTGAAAACTTTGGCGTTGCAGTAAATTTGCACACACCCAGCCCAGCCCTTGCACAATGGGCGTCGACGGCTAAGATAAAGAGGGGCAGCCAACAGTCGGCGAATATCAACATTTACCAGCTCCGGCAAGCACAAACAGACAAAACACAAACAAAGGCCACCGCAGAATGTTACGCCCTCTAAGTACATAGAGAGAAAATTGAGAGTGTAAGTGTAAAAATTAATCTTTAATGATAGAGCCAAAAAGCCTTACACTCCGTCATTCTTACAACATTACGGATTTATGCGTATACGTAACTTTGTTTTTCTCTCAGTGTACGCACAGTACAATAACCGACACTCACACAGGTGGCCCAAAAATGTATAAA